TAAATCATAAAATAAAAATTAGATAAAAATAGATGAATTAGATCATTCATTTTTGATGAGGATGGGCTGGATGGTGGACTCTGAGTGGGAGTGCAGGGAAGGGGCAGCGGAAGAGGGCAGGTGGGTAGCGAAAGTGTGGAGAGTAGTTAGAGAAGCTGCTACGGAGGTGAGGCCAGGCCAAACGGCCCAAGACAGGCAGGAACAACAGGGTCCAGAGGTAGCACAGCGTAGGCAGGATGAGGCACGAGCTGACAGGCAGGCCGGGAGGCTGAGCAGAGAGGAAGCTGGGCCCACCGGTCCTGGGGGCCAAGGTGCTGGAGGGTCACTTGCTGGCTATGTCAGTTTGCCCCTCCGCCCTTTGCCTCCCTCACAGCTGTGTCCTGGGCCCCAGACGCTGGCTCGTAAGTCTAGTGTCTGGGAGCCCTGTGCCCTCTGCTTGGGATGCACCTGGACTTGACTTGGGAGGAGAGCGAGGCCAGGGTAGTGACCCTCAGCCAGTCCCTGCAGGCCCCTGCAAGAGGGCCGTCCTGCTCTTGCAAGCCCCAGCCTCTCCTCTGCTATTCCTGTTTCTGGTTCCAGCCAGTGCTGCCTCCCTCCCTAGTCCTGCCCACCGGAAGCCCCGAGGCCTCAGGGTGTCTCTTCTGGCACTGCCTCTGTGTGAAGTATATGGAAGTCTTCCTCTATTAACCCCTCACACTCCTCTTTCTTGCCTGATAGTATAGGCCAGCGTCATGGATACTGAGCTCACTGAAAATGGGGGTGGGAGCAGGGGTGGAGAGGTGTAGTGAGCCAGGTCCTAAAACCTGGTAAGGGGCAGTAAGTTTAAAAAGATCAAATCCCACCCCCTTATTTAGAATCATATGTGAACCCCTTTGAGGCCAAAACCCCTAAACCCCTGCCTGACTTTTTTTTTTTTGGTCATTTCCAGCATTGGCACAATATCTGTCATGTAAAAGCATCTATGAATTAAGATGAATTGAATTGAATATTATTGTATTAAATTAAACTGACTCGAATTTTACTGAATAAATGAAATGCTAATCTTGCACATTTTAAACATCTTGGGTTCCCTTTTACATTCTTCTCTCTCTTCCCCCCCCAGCATATGGTTTTAAGAAGCTTCATGAACATCAAATAATAAATTAGATGAGGGATTGAGTTTCTGAAGTATATAATGAATAATAAATGTTTCTTTATATTAGCATCTCACAAAAAAATATGTTGAGGTTATGAAGATTTTGTGATACATTCAGATCCCTTAAGCTTTCAGGATCCACATTCTTGATATTGTAAGCACTTTGCCCTTGAAGACTTTACTTCCTGCCTCCAAGGCAAACAACAACTTATACAACTTTCAGAACAAGTAATTATTCATTTGAAATAACTGTTGATGGAGGTATCTTTTGTGGGGCCTCACATTTTCATGTTGAGTGAAAAAAATAAACTTTTAAAATATGAATTTGATTTTTAAGCCATTGAAATTCCTGTGTTTTGAAAGCCATTGTAACAATATGAGTTAAATCCTGCCATCACAGGGGGCTCTCTTTAATAGTGGGTGGTGGAGAGATCTGACCTACAAAGTAAAGATGACTCGGTTTGCATTTGGGATGGAGCTAGATTTTGTATTCTCTCTTCCTTTCCCCAAACACTAAATGTGGGATAGTTTCACTCTCTCCATGGTTTGTCTGCTGCCTTTTTTTTTTTTTTAAGATTTATTTATTGGTGCATACAGAACTGGGGTGCAGGCCAGAGGTGCAGGGGCGGTGAGAGGATTCATCAGAGACAGAGTGGGGAGCAGAACAGGCAGATCCACTGAAACACACTGCTGAGGGGAGCAGCCGGGAGACTGGAGAGGTCTGCTGCGTCATGTGGGTCAGCTCCCTGGCCTGGGGATGGAACTCTGTGCTGAAGTAACTATGGCTGGCTTCAGTGCTGAGCTTTAAGCCAATGCACCACTAGGGAGGCCCCTATCTGTTGCCTTTTCTTACATATATAGCTGATCCTTGCACAACTCAGGGGTTGGGCGCTCACTTCCCCCTAGTCAAAAATCCGCATATATTGGGCCTTCCCTGGTGGCACAGCACTGTGTGGCCATCCACAGCCACTGCAGCACAAGTTCGATTCCCGGCCAGGTTGCTGACCCACATGGCACAGCAGACCTCTCCTGTCCCTCCTGCTGCTCCCTTTGGCAGTATATTTCAGTGGGTCTGTCTGTTCTGCTCCCACTTTGTCTCTGGTGAATCCTCTCACCCTCAACACTTCTGGCCTGGCCCCCAGTTCTTGTATTCATAAATAAAAATATCTTTAAAAAATATAACTTTCGGGCCCTCCCTGTTGGCGCAGCGGGTTAAAGCACTGCACTGAGAAACTAAAGCCACCTCCGCATGAGTTCGATCCCCGCCTGCCCTGGAGGCGACCACATGGCGCGGCAGACCTCTCCTGACCCGCCCGCTGCTCCCCTCAGCAGTGTACTTCATCGATCTGCCTGTTCTGCTCTCCACTCTGTCTCTGGTGAATCCTCTCACCCTCCATATCTCTGGCCTATGCCCCAGTTCTGTACGAATAAATAAATAAATCTTTAAATATATATATATATATAACTTTCGACTCTCCAACATGTAACTTACTAGTAGCCTGACCAGAAGCTTAATGGTTAACCAAACATATATTTTGCACATTATATTTTATAGACTGTTTTCTCACAATACAGTAATCTAGAAAAAAAGAAAAGGTGGTAAGGAAAATCATAAAATAATGCATTTGCAGTGCTGGATCGTATTTCTAGATACTACAAGTTTCCTTTGTTTACAAGGTGGACTATCATCATTTCCTATATCCCTACTGCCGTACATGATACAAAACACACAGATGCTCTATGCTTTATTAACACGAGGGATCAAATGAAAAGATGATGTGGAAAAGAAGTTCACATTTACTTACAGATACAATGATTCGTGCATTAACAGTCTGTACTGGGAAAAACTAGAATTTGGGGCTGGGGGAATTGGGTGAAGGGGTGTAAACTTCCAGTTGTATGACAGATAGGGAGATGTTAACTTCACTTGCTGGGGCGCTGGCCTGTGGTATGAACGTCGAGTCATCGTGTGGCTCCCTGCAGCTCCCCGTGCTCTGTGGAGCTACATCTCAGTGAAGCCACAGAGCACGCGGTTGGCCCACATCGCGGCTGCTCGCCTTTTCCCCGTTGCGCCGTGAACTCTCTCTGTATTAAACTCATGGTGTTTTAGTCCTGCTGTGCCTCTTTCTGCAGAGGACTGAGAATGGCGCGGCAGCCCCTCCTCGGGCCCTGAATGTGCATCTTTCTGTCCTGCCCACCACTGCAGGCCTTCCCTCCTGGAACCAGCGGCCCACAGTGTCGGTGGGGCCAGGGAATGTAAAAACACTACTACCCGGCATCTTTGAAATGCCCAGTGTTGACAGGCACGTGTGTCACTTCATCTTTTTCCTCAAAGGGATGAACTTTGCATTTGATCATTTGAAAGGATTATTATTACCTTCTGCTCAAAGGACCCTTAGGATTTTTCTTCACAAAAGGTTTTTTTTTTTTTTTTTCAAGGGAACTGAGCTGCTTTCCACCCGCAGGCAGCTCCCATGGGCCAGGGCGGAGGGTGCAGGCACAGGGGCAGGGAGGGAGCTTGGATGTCTGAGGGGGAGGCTGCTGACACACTGGGCAGGCCCCCCATTCTAGGCTGGCTTCCCCTCCTCTGCACAGCACCCTCACAGCGCAGACTTTGAGGCGGCTTGCTCGGTGACTTGACGGCGGCCGGCGGCAGCACTGGTCATCTGGACACGGCGCCCAATGCTTTCCATTCACCGTACAAAGCTTAAAACCCAGCGCTCCCAAGAGTGATCACGATTCCACAAAAACCTTATCGTCCAGCTTGCTAGCAAGTTCTCTGGCTTTCTGCTTATCACTTCGAGAACAGTTAGTTTCCGTAGCCGCTGCTAGGCATGTAAACAAGCGTTATTTCTTCTCTCTGTGGTGACAGGCGCATCTCATTGTCCTGAGCAGAAACCCCTCTCCAGAGGAGGCCGGGGGCTCCGCCTACGCCGTGGCCCGCACCGCTGTGGCTTCTGGAAGACCCGAGCACCACGGTGAGAGAGCAGCTGCTCCCCCTGCTCCGGCGCATGCCAGTCGTGCACAGCTGCCTTCGGGAGGGTGGGCAGAGCCGGGCCCCTGGGGGCCTGCCTGGCGTCTGCTCACTGTGGCTGTGCCCCGCCGTGGGCTTTCCCAGAGCCCTCTGGTTTCTAGAGTCTCTTCTAATCTCTTACTTTCAAATACGGCCAATCTCCATCCAAACATAGCGACCCAGAGCACCACAGGCTTCCCGGTGGCTTACAGGGAAATTGCTCTGCTTGCAAAGGTGATCATCTATTTTTAAAGATTGTTGTGGAGCTTCTGTGGCAACAGATCTGGCCGGCTGGAACACTGGCCTCCAGCTCCCACAGGGCGGTGCTTTCCCTCAGGATGAGCTCACACAGCTTCAGGGGCCCAAGGAAATTGCCATTTACAACACATCTGGTTTTTCTTAGCCCCACAGACTAGTAGGGCCTTGGGCCGTGGGGATTCTTGAATTCACACCCTGGGCTTGGAGTTTACGGTTCCCCTCTACTGAGGGACAACACACAATCTAGTGGCTGTGTGGGAGTGGGTAGACTAGTCAGATACTGAATGAGTTGTCTGGGAGCATTCCAAGCTGTCAGATAAAAATCCTGTTTTCTACTAAAGTAAGGTCCAGTGTGTCAGCAAGAGTGAAACTGGTTACCTTGAGATTGGGGGCTGGCTGAAAAGCTGGTTAAGACAGGGAGGCTGGTGGGTGGGAGAAGGTGAAGGGGATGCCTGTCTGAGTAGCTGGTTTGCAGAAATCTCTGGGCCAAGCGGGGGCTGCAGCCCAGGGAGGGTCAATGGAGGGGATGCTGGTATTCTCTATCTGTCCCGCCTTGCAGAACCCTCACTCTGTCCCCCTGAAACAGCTTTAGTGCCTTCTCAGAGCTGGAGGACCTTGTCTAAGGATGGAGACAAAAGGAGGACTTTCTAATCTTCACCCCATAGAATGTTCTACACATGACAGCTTCAAAGCCTTCACACAAGTCCACATTTTGCCCATCTTGTTGATGCCTGAAATCCCTTTTATAGGGGAACAGAAGCTTCCATTTCACTATTAATAAAACACTGAAAGTGCAAATGCATGTTTGTCAGAAACCACTAAGCAAGCAGGAGCCACAAATCTAAATGCCTACAGGAACCAAGCAGGCGAATGAAAGCAGGCAGTTACTAGAAAGCAGTAGCAGCAGCAAGCACAGTTATAAATGGCCGCCAACTGTGGGCTACAGTAGAGCGAGACAATGAGGAGTGGTGAGGATTGTGGAAAGCTGGGGAAGCCTTTGCCCTGTTGAAAGGAACAGCTGCCACTCCGCTCCAGCCCCTCCCGCACATGGAAGGCGGTTTGATATAAGCAGGGCCTCTGCTTTCCCAAGAGAAGGCAGACATCTGGATTTTTTGTAAAATCCATTTGTAGCTGATGGACTAATCTGCATGTTTCAGGCTCTAGATGAGACCGGAGAGGTGTAGGGCTGATCTACACCTCCTACCAGGGAGCACGTGTCCTTTTGTTTCTTTTGAAGGATCATCAGAGAGAACAATTTCTCTTTGGGGGATTCTCCATGGCCTGTCTGCTCAATGCCCATTGAAGGCATTGTGCTCTGACAGACAAGACGCCCCGGCCACGAAGCCAGCGTGTCAGGCTTCACGCTCGAGCCAGCGAATCCCTGAGTTCTGTGCCTTCCTCGCGTTCCTTATGCAGGACAAACTGCCCTAGCAGTGGTGAAGGATTGTGATTGCGTAAGGACTCCCAATCCAGCTCCTGGAATGTTCCTAACCTGTGCGTGCCCAGCCTCACAGCACAGCCATAGACAAACTTGGTATTAACAGCTCTCCCAGCCCTGCTCAGAGCTCAGGGCACTGGCCCTGTGTTTATAACTCTTCTTCTAAAAGATATTAAAATCAAAGGGACAGAAGCCAAGTCCACTTCAGTGTAAACCTTTGAGCAACAGAGCCTGCTGAGCACAGGCGGCCTTGTTTGGAAGTGGCCTGGACCGGGCCTGGGCTGGGACGGTCCTGGGACTCTGCAGGGCCTGGAGAGGGCAGAGCACAGCCTCTGGAGCAGGGGTGGGGTGCCTGACGAGTGCACCCGCCCCAGAACGTGGGGACATTCCTGAGATGTCATTCCCTGTGCACAAATACGTCTCTCTCCCAGCACTTTGCACTTAGCTGTGGAGTTAGGCACTCCACCTCACGGAAGCATCCCCTTTCTGTAACAGGTGATCTTCCTTTGCTCAACTCTTCCTCCTGTGATCTGCCTTCTCAGATCTGCCTTCACCTGTGATCTGCCTTGCCCCCATGCCGGCCCTGTCTCCCTCCCCCAGCCCACTCACTGCTCTCTGTGTCACAGTCACTCCTGGGGTTCGGTGTGTCCCTGAGAGACCTGCATTCAGACAGCCCCTGGCAGACACACACTCAACTCCAGGGGGCTCCTGACAGGTAACATGGGCCCCTAGAAGCTGCCACAGTCAGGCCCTCATCATCTTCCCTTAACTGCTTCCCTCTGCTGCAACCTCGCTCCAGCGCCAGCCCAAGGCCTTCAGGTGAGGCCTTAGAAAATGAGTGTGAGCCACCATGGGCATGCACACCTCTTCTCTCCCTTCTCATTCTTCCCCTTTCCATGCTCTTCCTCCTCTGGCTTCATACCACAATCCCAGGCTCTGTGGCTCTGCAAGACCCTTCCTCAGCCCTGGCTCAGGGCCTACCTCTTATCATAAAATGCCCAGCCAGCCTGAGTTGAGCCTGCCTCTGGCCTTACAAACAGAGGGTGGCATCCATGCCTGCTCTGTGCACCCCAGGCCCAGTGAAGCGGGGGGCTGCAGAGAGTGCCATGGGTGGGATAGGGAAGCAAAGGGGAGCCTCTCACTGTTTCTCTTTACTTGTTAGGATGACCCCCTCACAGAAACTTCCAGAAGGCACCTTAGAGTACAACCCATCTAGAGGACTAGAACCCACAGTCACTCTGCAAGTTAGATGCAAAGCAAGGCCCAGACAGACCAGCTGCTGCCTCTTACCACCCTCTAGAACTGGGGAGCAAGGAGGCTGGTGCCCTGTCCCTAGAGCTCCAGGGGGCTTGGGAGCCCCAGAGGAGAGGCAGGTTGGCAGCACTTGGAGCCAGAGGAGGAATAGAGGGGGTCCTCTTCCTTACCCAGAGTCCTTGCTGGGGGTGTCTTCCTAGAAGGGCAACCTGGTACAGAAGTGAAACCTCATCAGACTTTTCCTGCGAGCCACCCTCCATCTCTGTGCTGGGAGCCATGTCTGTGGCTTCAGGGTAACCTTCTTCTCCCAGAAGGGTAAGGTGCAGGTGCTCAATGATGTCTCATAAAAGCCACTTTCGTGAGGTTCCAGTTTTTCACTTTTGTCTTCAGAACTTCTCAGAAAAGCATGTTATTCCTACTTAGCTTCAAAAAAGATTTCTAAGGCAGCTGATGGGAAGTGCATGTTCTTCAGCAATACTCTTGATGTCTGACCAGCACCAAGAAGCCTCAGTGGCCTTTGAGTGGTGGGTGGGGTTTCTGGTCAGCTTCCTGGTGTTGAGAATGTTCAAGGGAACTGGACCCCAACCAGGCTGGTGGTGCCAGGCACTGCACAGGCACTTCATATACTCACTTCCACAAGCCTCATCCAGTCTGCCGCCATCTTGGTTACCTCACACGACTGAACCAAACCTCCCCTAGAGACAGCCGTTCCCTTCCTGGGCCCACATGACTGTGAGCAATGGGTTTTGTCATGCCCAGAAGCCATGTCCAGGCCCTGTGAATTGTTCCTCCTAAAGAGGAGCTCTGAAGTGGACCACTGAGAGCCCCAAGGTGAGAAGAGAGATCGTCCTCGGCTTCCTACATTCTCAGGCTTCCTTGGTGGGCCTCTAGGCCACCAAGTAGCCTCTGGCAGTGGCCTTGTAGAGCCATGGCAGCCCCCAGCAGGGCCTAGATGAGTTCAGTCTGTTTGTTTACTGGGTAATAGCACTCCTCTTGGTTCACACCAAGCTAGTTTGTGAGACTTTCTACTTTCAAATTCCCCGGGGTCCTTAATGCTTTTGCAGTTAGTACAGACTATTTCCCAAGACTGTTACAAAAGATAATTGTCACATTCTACACGCAGGCCTCCCTCTTAATGAAAGCTGGCCTCACTGCTCCAACTGGCCTTAGGACGGCCTCAAGAAAATGAGCCCAGGGTTACTGGAATTTATTTTAATTAAAAACCTCCTGACCTCCAGTGTGCCAAATCATAACCCCACATTCCTCTGGCTCTTTGAATGAAGCCTTGTTTTCTGCTGCCTGCCTGCGATTAGTCTGATAGAGCCCCGAGGAGAGGTCAAGCCGCCTTGCTCACCCAGCCACCCTCCTTCCTTTTACCCGCCCTCCCTCAGCAGACAGCCTGCACCTTTTGCTGGAGGGAGAATGGGAGACGATTGCCAGCCTTGGAACACCTGTGCCCTAGGGCTCAGATTTACAAGCTAAGTCAGGCTCCTATACTTTAGAAAGTGACCTCATCTTCTGCCCAGGCCTCCAGCATCAGGTTGCAGAAGGTTCTAGAAGAGATTTTCAGAGTTAGGGGTGGCCATGTGTGAGCACCGAAACAGCTGGCTCTCTGGGGCCATACCAGCTCAGGGCATCAGGGCCACTGGGGGCCTGTGTCCCACCCCAGGGTCTATGACCTCCGGCCCTCCGGAGCCTGCTGTCACTTGCCACTTCCCAGGGATGCCACCTCCTGTTCACCAGGGTGTCTCCCCTTCACTGTAGTAATGGGCCAAATTTTCTCTCCTCTCAAAAGTAATCATACTATTCAGAAAGGAGGATTTTAGGATGGGAGAAATAAGTCAGGGTCTTAAAACGGAGGCATTTCCTATATCCCAGGGGGAGCTAAAAGTAGTTTCAAGTTTACAGACAGGGAAGACGCCCCAAGCAGCTCATATACAAGGGTCCGGACAAACGGTGACAGATGCCTGACAGTCAACATGTACGTGACGAGAGCTGTCAGCCGCCTTTGACCAGAGACCCTCCAGGAACAGAAATGGGACCTTGAGAGAAGGCCAGGATCCTGAAATGGAGGGAGGGGAGCAGCGACTTTATGAGGGGGCATGGTGCCAGGGGGCAGATTCCCAGGCAGCCCCTCCCACGCCCCTCCCCTACCTGCCTCTCTGGCTCCCTTCCTCTTCATTTCCAAAGAGTCGTGTGTGCTACCCAGCATCCTTTTCGGAAAACACAAGTAGGTTCCCCTGAGTGAGAGGTTGTAAGCCCACGAGCTCCCTTTCTTTCAGCATCTCTGGGAGACCAGCTAGAGAAGGGCAAGGAACATGTGGCACACGGGTGCAGAGGACCAGCTTAAAGAGGGGGCAGTCGGCGAGCAGGTGATGGCTGGGAAAGGAATACTACGACGTAGGACGATTTCACAAAAGGAGCGCAGCAGGAGCCGGCGCGGCCGTATGGACCTGTGTCTGAGAGCCCGGCTGCTTCCCGGGCCAGGGGAGGGACGTGCCTCCCACCCACCATCCTCCTCCTTCACCTGAACACTGCAGCATTCCTGCCAAAGTGCCGGGGCTGAAGCTCAGGGCCGCCCCAGCTCCTCCAGATGCCTTCAGGGCTCATCTCTAGGAGAACATGGCTGAAGTGCCGAAAGATCCTTCCTTGGTCACATCCTTTGGTTGCTTCCCAGTCAGACAGAAAATTAAAATATCAGGAGCCCACTGCTCCCGAACAGTCTTATTAGATTTTTAGACATCAAATGTTCATTTCTGTAAGGCATTTAGAATCCACAAAATAAATCCCACATCACCCCACGCTTGCTGTCATCAGATTATCAAAGTAACCAAAGTGAACGCTTAACTCGAACATTCCTATTTGTTCCCCTATGTCCTGCCCCCCCATCATGAATCAGCTACAGATGAAAGAGATGTAATAGTTTCCATGTGCTAGAATTTTCTCCTCCCAACAGAAAAAATCTGAGTAACACCCTAGAAAGCCATCTGCTGGGTCTGGTAGTGGACAGAACCCCACTGAAAAGAGTTATTTATTTATACATATAGAACCAGGGTACATCTCCAGGTGCGTGATCTGGAGCCCTTGAGGGACACAGTCAGAACTGCACGGCCCAGACCTGCACACCGGCAGCCTCCAGAGCCTTCACCCTCACTCTGCTGGCTGAGAAACTGCCACGCCCTGTACAGGCCAGCCCCGAACTCGCTCCCTGTGGTTCCTGGGGTGCCTCTTCAGAAGCACCTGGCGATCACACCAGTGTACGAGCAAAACAAATCGAAGGGGCCGGTGCTTTGGAAGAGATAGTCACATAGAGAAGCTACAGGCTGGCCCAGTCAAGGAAACAGGGAGAAGGCCCAATATGCAATGAGGAGGGATAAAGGGCAAGTGACTGAATAGGAAGGAAAATGTCACCTGGAAGCCAGGTGACCCCGGGGAGGAAGACATGGCACTTTCCTCTGCTCCAGCAAGCCCTCTCCGAGGGCCACATTCAACTCGCCACCTGTCTGTGCAGTTTTCCTGGGACACAGCCACACTCGTTCGTGGCTGTTTCGTCCCTGGCTGCTTTTGTGCTACAACGGCAAAGCCGCAGAGCTGCGTCGAGACCATCTGGCCCACCAAGCCTAAAATATTTACCATCTGGTCTCCGCAGAGTACGTTTGTCGACCCCTGTGCCGGAGCCCGAGCATTTCTCCCGCTTTGGATTCGTTTCTGTCATTTCTTGGTTCGGAATTTCCAAGGCAAGGAGGTGCCCACCAGACCTCACACACGCACGTGGCCCGGGCACGGTGCCTCGTTCCCTCGGCTGCCGTCTCTCCGGCCCCGGCCTCTGGCGGGACTTGCCTGGGGCCTCAGTGTGGGCCAGCGCCATTGCCCTTCACTCCAGCGTAGGGGCTCCTGGCTGCAGTAGTTTTCTTTTGCTGTTTAATAGCTGTTTAGGAGCGCACAGCTCTTAGGCTCAGAAGTTGAGCACTGGAAGAATGGCTTCTCTGCTCAGGCTACAAGCAGACTGTTCACCAGGCATGTTCTCACTTGGCGTGTGGAAGCCTTTCCAAGCTCATTTCTGTTACTGGCAGAATTCAGTTCCTTGTGGTTATAGGACCGGCGTCCGCATTTCCTGCTGGCTCTGGACAGGGCCCCTCTCTGCTCCTACAGGCCGTTCTTGGGTCCTTGCCCCGTGGCCCCTTCCAGCGGAAGCCTTCCTTATTGTCCAGTCCCTCTCACACTTCCCATCTCTGCCTCCTTTTTCAGCCACCAGAAAGAAATCTGTTTTTAAAAGGGTTTGTGTGCTGAAATCAGGCCCAAGAGATACTCTCACTTTTTAAAGTCAGCTGTGCCTCATAACACAACCTCATCACAGCAGTGTATCATCTTCACGGGCTTCAAAGGGAAGGGTGAGGGCCATTTGGTGTCCAACTTGATTTCTGTGGGCCACAAGTCTGCTCCCCGCTTATCTACCACACACAGGCCTCATCTCCAGCCCCCTCAGAGAATTTTCTTTCCCTCTAATACCTTCAGGGACCATCCAGCTTCAGCTGCTACTCACTGCTCTGCTCTGGCTCTTCATTCCCTGTCCACTTTTTGATACCTGAAGTTGCTTACAAGATTGGCATGTGGTGAAAATGTTTTCATTCTAGGCTAATCACTATGGGTGAGAGTTTGAAATAGCTGGGTTTGTTCCCTCAGCAATATGTCTAACATGTTTTTGAGACTTTTTATGTTATGAAACTATGTTCCAAGATTAAATCAGAGGCCATGAAAGTGAGTGAACCCTTGGAGTCCCAAATTCGGTGACGAGCAACCCGAAAAATGAATAAAATGCATACAAGAAAGGAGTGTCAACTGGCCGATGGGACAAATGTCAGCGCTGTGGGATGATCTTCCGTTTGCATTAGCCTTGCTTGCCATATCAGTGGGGAAGCTAAGATGTAGAAAAATAAAGGAAAGAAAATTTCTGTATCCTCCTGTGACCTGTCTTTTCTAACGAAATATTCAAATTAGTGGGCAAAAGACTATCTTTTTAAACTGGGATCTCTTATTCAAATACTTACAATTTTCCAATAGTTCACTGCTCCTAAAAGCATATTTTTCTGTTTCCATTTCAAATCTGTGAGCAGCATTCAAAATTGTTATAATTCTCTTCTTCAGATGTGGCTGAGCAGTATTTTCAAGAGAGCATGGCTAACCTTAAAGATGTTAAAGGGGCCAGAAATGCCAAATTTCTTACAACTCAAGATGAATATTGCCATTTTCTGCAGGTCACTGGACAACAAGAGGTGAGTTTGGACCGCGTTGGCTGGTGATTTATGTAGCCAGCCCTGCTGAAATTCAAAGGGCTACTCCTTCCCTCTGTAAGCATCCATTAAGCACCTACTGTGTGCAGCTCCAGGGGGGATATGGATGAGAAAGTCCAGGTGGCCACTCTTAGCCACTCCCAGGTACTTGCTCTGGGGAAACAAAAGTTACTTGAGACTATGGGGATCACATTCACTCAAGATCACAAAGGCCTAGGAACCTTGAGAAGCCTGTGGGGTGGATGTGGGTATCTGGGAGAGCAGAGCACCGGCCAGCTTCAGCCGGCCAGCAGCCGCCCACACCCCTGTGCACAGCACAGCTCTCCACCACATGCGGCAGCCTCGGTCCAGCCCCTGGCTGTAGACCTTCACTGTGCTCCGGCAGGAACCGGCCAGCAAGGGTCAGGTCAGGGAGCCCAGGGATGAGCTGGGGTTGTTCTCAGATCATCCCTGAGGCGTCACCTCCTATGCTTGTACTAAAGGCCTGCAGCCACAGGGAGGTGATCTTGGGGGAGGAAGAGCACCTCAGGTAAAATGTAAGTGAAGGTTACTCAGCTCCAGGTTAGGTAACCTGTGGGTTTATCCAAAAGCTGCTCCTGTCCTGCTCAAGAAGCTTCTCTGACTTCTAGTCCCTTTAGGCGAGCCCAGGCTCCTCAGCCTGACATGAAGACCCCCACCATCACCTAACCTATGACTCCTCCGCACCCCTCTGCTTCTCTGCCTGCATCTCTGCTGCCCACAGATTCGTCCCCCCACCGCTGGGCCGCTCCCGCCTCATGCCTAAGGCCCCAGGCTCCCAGACCTCTTCTCAGCCGCCAAAGTTCTGCTTATTCTTCACTGCCATCCAGCTTTCCAGCTCTCAGAGGCTAACGTCAGTTCCTGTGAGCCCACGCAGCTTCTCACCCACTGCCCTCTCCACTTGCATTCAGTTCACACACATCTATCTCCAGTTCCCCATCAGACTGCCAACGGCATTGAGAGCTTGCTTAGGAAAAGGATATTTGGCTCGTCTTTTCATCCCTGGCTCCTCAAAGTCTGACAATCAATTCCCTCGGAAAAGCTGCCAGAGCCCTCACTCGAACCAAGCCAAGGCCTGGCCCACACGCCTGAAGGGGTCTCGTTACACATGGGGCGTGGCGGCGTGAGCCTTAGGCAAGGCCTCCGCCCTTTAGACATTTTCTCTGCCCCGCCAGTGATTTCTGTGTTGGCCTAATAGTTTCTGCCCCATCAGCACCCTCAGTGTGGCCCCCACCCCGCCCAGCACCTACCGCATCGTGCTGCCGACGAAGGGAGCGGGGCCTGGCCAGCGTCTCTGTGCGTGGCCATGTGCAGTGTGGGAAGCCGGGACGGAGCTTCAGGAGAAAATGTCGGAGATCCGCGAGCAGGTTTCCCCACGTGTATCTTGGTAACTACTGAGATTACCATCAGCAGATTTTGCTTTCCGAGCAACTCATGTTTTTTATTCCATGTTGATATAAATAAATCAGATAAAGCAAACCAAATGTCAAATATATTTAATTTTTTATCACGCTGGAATGTTTGCTTTCAGTTACCCAAATTATTTCTGTGAGAAACTGAAAACCCTGGAGTAGGTCTGGGTGTTTTCTAAGTAGCTAAAGCACCAGCCAACTGTAGTTTTTACTGTGGTACAAGCGTCACTGTGCAGGGAGGGGAAGAGCCTATAGGGAAAGGGGGTTCACAATTAATCCAGGATTCAGACCCCAGCGCCCCCACTGGGGAACTGTCTGACTCAGCAAGTTTCTTACTGCTCTGGGCCTGTTTCCTCCTCTGTCAAATGAGGATTAAAATTGTGTGTGTGTGTTTAAAGATTTATTTATTTATGCATACAGAACTGGGGTACAGGCCAGAGGCACAGGGTTGGTGAGAGGATTCACCAGAGACAGATTGGGGAACAGGACAGGCCAACCTGAGGGGAACAGTGGACGGGTCAGGAGAGGTCTGCCGCGCCCTGTGGGCCACCTCCGGGCTGGGGATCGAACTCATGCTGAAGTGGCTGCAGTCACTTGCAGTGCTGCGCTTTAACTTGCTGCGCCACCAGGGAGGGCCAAAATTGTGTTTAGCTAAAGGAGATTGCATGAGCTCATGTGTCAACTGCTTAATGCAACCTTTGACACACCAAGGACACAGTACTGTTAGCCTTTGTCTGCTCAGCTAAAACAGACTGTCGCATCGAAGTGGCTTTTTCTACAGGGTCTTCCTTGTTATTCCTGTCTCCTGTTCAATAGGAGGAGGGAAGGTTCAGCTCACAAGGCACTCTGTCCAAAGCCATTCTGCTAAAAAGGAAAAATGTACATCGTTGCATCAAGAAGGATTGATGTTGACCAGCCTTTGAACATTTAACCAGACTGCCTTCTGTTCCTTTCACAGAGGGCAACTGCCATCTTGAAAGAGTCTCTGGAAGCCAAAGTGGGAGTGTTTGGGGATCTCAGTCCCGAGGTGGCAGAGACATATCGACTCCTGAGTGCTGCCGACCTGGAACAGAAGAACCACAGCGGGGCCCACAAGAAACTGAAGAAGGTAAAATTGGAGTGGCGCTAGTGGGGAGATCAGCCCTGTTCCCCAGTCACTTCCTCCCCGTGCTCTTTTTATTTATTTATAAAGATTTGTTTATTTATGGACACAGAACTGGGGTACAGGCCGGAGGTGCAGGGGCGGTGAGAGGATTCACCAGAGACAGAGTGGGGATCAACAAAGTACACTGCTGAGGGGAGCAGCGGGCGGGTCAGGAGAGGTCTGCCGTGCCATGAGGATCTCCTCAGGGGCAGGCAGGGCTCGAACTCATGCGGAAGTGGCTTTAGCTTCTTAGTGCAGTGCTTTAACCCACTGAGCCACCAGGGAGGGCCCCATAATTCTCTTTTATGTACTATTCTACCCTGGAAATAATTTTTATCAATTTCTTATTTTACTAGACGCTGTATACTTATTTATCGAAGAATTCTGTTTTCTTCTAGTACTTGTATTTCTTTTTAGAATTAGGTTTTATTTGTGTGGATGAAATGAGGTATGGATCTAATGTTTCCTTTTTTCCAAGTGACCACCCCTGTGTCCAGTGCCATTTTTTTTTTTTTTAAAGAATCCACATAGACTTCGGTGACGTGAGGTCACTGCTTTATCATATACTGCGTTTCCATATGTGTTTGGTCCTATTCTGTATTTCTAGTCTACTGGTTTCTCTTTATTCAAATCCCAGCACCTTTTTGTCTTGGTTAGAGAGACTTCATAGCATGACTTAAATCTGATAGGACAAGAGCCACTTGGTTCTTCTTCCCTCGGGAGAAACATTTTCGAGTGATAGTTAAGTATCAGTGTGATCTCGCTTCATCAAAATAATTTGGACATTTACCAAAGTAATTTATACATCATTAAAACTATCTAGTCTTTGAAGCTTGCACTTCCTAGGAAACTCTTGAGGGTCTAGAGATTTTTTGATAATTTTTTCTGTATCATCTATAAAAATGTAGTCTGTTGAAGCTTTCTCTCCCTAAGGGGATCATTTTCTAGGTAATTTGTTTCATTTATGTTTTCATGTTTAGGTTATATATATTTGTAAAGTAGTTTTATGAATTTTTAAAATTTCTACCTTTGTAATAGTTATTTTCCCACTGTAATTTCTTAGTTTAATTTTTGGATTTTATCACTTTTTCTTGACTGAGTGAGTGAATTGTCTTTTTTGTTGATTTTCCAAAGAAACCCGATTTTAATTGCTTAGGTCTTCCTTGTCTCTATTTCATTAATTTCTGGTTTTATCTTTAGTTCTTTCTTTCCTTGTGACTTGTTCTTCTGACTTTTTTTGGAGTCATGCTCTGTCTTTTGAGTTGGAAATTCAATTAATTTGCTTCCATTTGTTGATGTGTATTAGCATGGGAATTTCCTTGACTACTGCTTTAAATGTAGTCATTTAAATGTAGTCTTACAAGTTCTGTCATGTTATATTTTCTTCACATTAGTTGGTATATAAATGGGGAGGGGAGAACCTGGGGGTTTCTAGGTAAGATAAAAAATTTAACTGTACTTCATAGAGAACTGTCCTCAAAGTCAAGCCTTTTTCTCATCTCACAGCCATTTTGATTCTGCTAAAGTAGGTCCCACACTCGTAATAGACGTAACCCCTACTTTTTAAAGAAGATAACACTTATGTCTACTATCAGTTGCTCAACAAATAGTTATGGGGTCAGTTGCTAGGCTGAACAGACCTGGGGGAAAAACTATGACCAAGACCAATATGCTGCTTGTTTGCTGAGACTTTCAGGTCTAGCCAGGAAGAAATATATTAAATCAGTCATTTAAATATCTCACATATGCCAAAGACATTGTGGTGAGGGAGGAGGTGAGAAAGGAGAATGAGGGAGGCAGTTGCTGTGTTTTCCCACCACCCACTGCCATCAAGTAATGCCCAAGGCTTCTTGAGTGTCTGTTATATCCCTGGCATTATATCAGGAGATTTTCACATGTACAGATACTTGACTTTCTTAAACCCAGCCCCAACCCTAAGAGTTGGGTACCACTACTCTCTCTTACAAAGAGGGAAACTGGGGCTGAGGTGATAATTGTCAGCCGTGATTGCAAAGCGAGGAGCTTTGTCTGAGTTGGGGGCCAGCACCCCACAGACCACATTGTGTGTCTCTTCGACATCTCATCGATTTTACCTCCTGGGCTTCCAAGGGAGATTTTTTGCTTGAACAAGGGCTTCCCGTGCTTAGAAACACTTGGAAGCAGTGGGGAGAGTGCCAAGATTAGGTTAGTGGGCATCTGGGTTGCCACTGAAAGAGAACAGCGCAAGCTGCTCAGCTACGAAGAGGCGTCTGCTGTGCTGGGGTTTTCTCGGAAGGGTTAAAGGTAGGCGAGTATCAGAGACACGCAACTGAGCCTCAGGAGAAAATGCCAGGCCAGAATCCCGCGCTGCCGGTGGCTTTCAGGCCTCCTGCCTGCTTCTCTCTGCGCCTCTTCCCTTACGGCGATACTGCAGACTCTGCGGGTGCCTCCTGCACTCATCCATCTTTCTGTGTTGGCTTGAAAAATCTTAGGGGAAGACCGAGAGGCCTGGCTTGGACCTGGTGTCCACTGAGGCTGTGATAACGGTGTGGTCAGGGCGAGAACATGGAGTTTCCGAGGCGGCTAGCGAGAGTTGGTGCAGACACACAATCTTATAGTCAAAAGACTTGGGCCATGGTCACTAGAGCCCACTCCCCAGATTTGGAGCACAGCGTGGACAAAGCCAGCATGTGAGCATTTCTTCCCCGAAGGGTGCTGGGCCAGCCGGGGGTTAAAGTGTGATGTCATGTGCCGAGGTCTGTACGGCAGGTCCATCCCATGCTCCACAGGAGGAAAGCAGTTAAGGGAAGGGATCCAGCTAACTCATCCTGAAGAGGGGAGGGTCAGAATCACGTGGTCCTGAAGCCTGTTAAGAAACATAAACAAAGCCGATGGGGCTGATGGTCTTTTGGGGAAGCAGCTGAGAAAGACGTGGGGCAGGTCTTTGTTCCTGTTGGCCAGGTTAAGGGCTGAGCACTGATCCTTTACTCCAAGGCCCCGAATGATGCTCTTCAGGCCCCAACTTGTCCACACTACTTGTTTTTGAAAGGCCAGTGAGTTGAAAATGGGCTCTACAGATGAACAGTCTGTAATCATTTTACAAGCTGCTCATAAATGGAGTTAATAGGTAGATAACACTAACTTTGAACCCCAACTGAGGGCAATGGTACCTCCAAAAAAAGAATTCCATTCTTCTCATTGGTAGGTACAATATTACAAAAAGACCTGTATCTTTATTATTAATCTATTTTGAATGTCACTGATAAAAGTTCACTGGAATTTGTTTTCTCTTCTGACGTAAGTACCTACACAATAGCCTCAAGTTCTGTCCCTTGGCCTGCAAGGCCTCCAATATTTGCCATCTCGCCCTTCACAGAGAAGGTTTTCTGAACCTTCCTCCACACAGGTGGGAGCTATTGAGGGAATTGAAAGCAGGCAGGAATCTACGTTTGTACTACGATTTTTTCTTTTTTAAATCACTCTGAGGATCTTGTAGCCAGTGGAAAGGAATGGCCCAAGAATTGAGGCCAGAGGCTTCCATTTTCTCTCTGAGCCCATGACCTCCTCACTGTTCCATATTTGCCCTGAGGTGACATGGAGGCAGGTGAGTGGGCTGCTGGGATTGGCTGGCCCAGCCCAGACGGTGCGCACCGAGAGCTTCCGGTGGAGTGGGCAGAACCTGCCCTGGCCATCTCCACTTTACTCGCTGTCCCCTGTTCAGCCACCAGGTGAGGTCGGAGACATTCTCATTTTTTTAAGCCACACAACTCCAGGCAGATGAGGGCCCCAGGGTAAAGAAGCAAGTGTTAGCGGATACACAGGGGGCTTGAACAAGGGCCACACAGGCTGTCAGGAGACCCTGCCGGCTTGGTGGAGTCAGTGGGTACATGCCTGGGGCCAGGTTCATCCCCAATGCCAACCCTCTCAGCGCCCTGCCTTCGGCCCTGCCTCGGACAGGTTACTCTAAGGAAAGCCCACCATCAAGTGTGGGGCTTCAGCCCCTTCACCAGTGTCTGGGGCGGGGATCTGTACTTTAGCACTGGGTGAGGTGGGACGTGTGGAGGGCCAGGTTCAAAATCACCCTTCTGGGCCCTGTTCCCACCAGAGGGGCTGAAAAGTATCTCAGCTTTAAGAAACGCAGGTGTCGTCACCCCTAAAGCCTAGTGGAAGTGGGTGATATTTGTCGCTTTCCTTTGGCCTGATCAACCATCAGCCCTGGAAACAATGGCTTTGGTATTTCAAGCACGCTGGTCACTTGCCAGAATGAGAGAGGGAAGAGCTGCAGCGTGTCAGCTGAGTCCATGAGGGGACAGGCAGAGTCATGTCCCCACGTCGCTCAGGACAGCGCAGGCCGCTCCCTCCCTGCGGAACTGGACGCCATCAGCTGGGTGTTTCTTTTGTTTTTATCACAACAGCAGCTGCAACCCCCAGGGTTTCACTCCAGTGCAGGAGCCCTGGAACACTGGCTTTCCCAGATGTGCTTTTCTCCACTGAATGTCTCCGCACGCTTCTGCAGGGCTGAAAAACAGGAAGCCACAAGCAACAGAGCAGACAGCAGACAGGATTAAATGACTGGAAAGAAACTATATTATTGAGTGTGCCTTTCAAAGGCCTCTGCCTGGAGGGGAGAACTGGAGACCGCTGTGGACTCGCGATGGAAATTTCCACAGCAGAAGTTCACGTGTCTGCAACGTAGAGACCTAGTTTGACTCTAGAGTGGGAGGCAGGGGCACATTCTCGGCCTGGAGAGAGGCTGAACAGGAATCCCAGATGATGCTGTCCTGAGTCAGCGGCGTCTCAGGAGTAGGGGGAGCCCAGGAGCAGTGTGAAGTCTGGTGAGGGCGCTCCTCGCCATGGCCTCCCTGCTCTCAGAGCTGAGTGCACGGCTTCCGTGCAGGAGCAAGAAGCTGGATGTCACCCCTTTCACCAAGCAGCCCAAAGCCCACTAGAATGAGTCACTTGAAGAGAGGTGATGGAAAATAGTTTTCACCCCTGGACTGAGCTGAGAAATCTAACCCCCGGGGTCTCGTATGGCCAGCCGGAAGTCTTTCCTCTGGCAGCTATCTCTCCCGCAGGCCAGACGCAGAGGCTTACAGACGCTGTGTCTCGTGTTCAGCCAGAGTGTCCCCCCAATTCCCTCGGCGGGGCCCTTAGACATACTTCCCTTTCGCCTCTGTGGGGTTGTGGTGTCTTCTCTGTTGCCCTGGATACCAGGAAGTCCTGTCAGGTGTGAAACCCCCAGGGAGGCCCCGTGTTAGCTCACCCTGTTTCCAAAGGCAGCATCCTTTGTCCTTGAGGGAGGTCATGAGGAAGGTCATGATGACTTCACTTCTCTCAAGGGACTGTGGTTAGGATGAGCTGTGTGCCTGGAGGTGCTTGGAGCTCGTCTTACTTGAGGCGTGTTCATCCATTCATGTAGCGTGAGCATGAGAGCTGATGGCCAGAGGGGTCAAAGTCGCCCGTGACTTCCGTGGGAAAACTGGGAGCCTCCCCTGACTGCTGCGGATTGGGTGAACTGACACTCCAGGTCCTGGCCATGGGCCACCTGGCGCCCACAGCTGCCAGGGAGAGTCACGCTCCTCAGGGTGGGAGGGCACTGGCACTGCCCCATCCACCTTCACTGACCTTCAGAAAATAGGTGGGCAGTGTGCCAGCCTACCCCAGGACAAAGAAATTTCCTCCTGTGGCCTGGTGAACACACCTGCCTTAGAAAGTCCTAAATTGGCATTGAGGTCTGGAGGACACTGAACTGCGTGGGGTTTATCAGACCATCCTGTCCTGAGACTGCCCGGGGCTGTCAGAGCCTCAGTGCTGGGGACGGAGGAGGGGACAGTTGCCCACTGCAATTCACAGCACCACCCTCCCCCCACTCAGGAAGGGCTCAGCGAGATGCTCCACCCCACCCGGAGGGGAGCCCTGCCAGGAAGAGGCAGGCCAAAGGCTTAGCTGTAAGAGGGGCTGCATCCTCGCTCCGCTGGCTCACAGCAGGGCAGTCCCACTTCGGTGCCGAAGCCGACGGCCAGCGGCCCAGTGAAGCCTTCCTCCATGTCCAGGGGGAACACCGCGCGATTCCCGGCACTGGCGAGTCCTGCTGATGCGCGTGTTTTCTAAATATTTGTGTTGCAGTTGTCCTGGAGAAAGGTGATGGTAGCTTGCTCCAAGACAGTGGCCAGGGGCTGGAGCAGAGTCGTGGGGGAGTCGAGGGATGTCGATAAGGACATAGAACCCACGACATGTGACGACACAGAGGTGAGGAGTGAGGCTCCTGACTGTCGAAACTTAAATAAGGGTTTGCTCAATTTACCCGTCCCCTCACTTAATTACTCACTCATTGAGCAAATAGTGCAGCTATTCAGTGCTGAGGGTGGGTGAGGCCCTGAGACATGGACCCCCGGGAGCAGCTTCAGGCGCTGCCTTTTGTCTCCTGCAGGGAATGGAGGGCTCCCCGCGAATACAGGGACACGCGTGGCTCCTCACAACCCTGCAGATAAAATCAAACAGAATAATGGCTCCCGCAACTTCCTCTGGGTTCCTGAAATTCAGGGGGGTTTGTCTGTTTTTTTTTTTTTTTTTTAACCTAAAGTGAGAAACACCTTTGGAAGCTGATGTCAAACATAACACACCTTCATTTATGGTGGAGAAAAGTCAAGATTTGGGAAGTTGTCTGCTTGGCTCAGGGGTTACTAGCAATGCCTGGCCCCCAGCAGGCCCCATGAGCCTCAACTGGCTTTGTCTCTGTCCAAGTCTATGCTTTAACAAAAGCATCCGAATACTAACTTCATAGAAAAGTGCTGGAGCAAATTTAGCCAACAGCAGCAGAACACTGAAAAGTTCACTTTGTTCCTTGGGTAAATACGCAGCCATGCAAAACATTTTCTCGTAAAGGTCAGTAATGGGTGATTTCACTATTAAAAAAAAAAAAAGACACTTCCTGAGGGCACTTCAGTTAGGGGTGAGCCATCATTCACTGTCCTGGGGCTTGGTCTTGCTGCCCTGGCGCCAGGGACTGGAAAGGGGAGTGAGGTCTCCTAGTGGACACCACATTGTGTAGCTCCTCACTTCAGGTAGAATTCTGGGAAAATCTCCTTAGTGAAGATAAGTAACCACCTAACAGATCCTATCACTACCAGGAAACGTCTTGACTGGGGCTTCGGAGGTAGGGTGGAGATGAGGCTCACCTCTCTCTGGGCTTGATTGTTGAAAGGGGTCACAACCCATCGTCATCTATGGTCCCGCTAACTCCACGCTCTCTTACTCATCATGTGCCCTGAAATACCAGCACATAAGGTCTGGAATGGAGGTGGTTAGTAGGGCTGGTGGGAATTCATCTAAACACTGTCCCAGAATCTGTGAGTATTCAGCTAAAGGTAAATCTTTCCCGGGAGAATAGGGGGCCAGAGAGAAGCAGTTTTAATATCCAAAGAGATAGGAGGGAAATTCCTCCGAGTTTTAGATTTGGGAGGCCATCTGTTAAGACAGGATGAACTGAGACCTCAGACTGTCTCCAGTAATCGTTAGAATGTCACCGAGACTCTAATGCCACAGTGAATGAATTAGCACCAAGGCAGGTCGACATCAGCTGTCTCCACAGGAGCTGCATCAGAGGCCCTCATAAATATGTAAACAGGGAAGTCAGTGGATTTAAAATTAGGCCTGATCTTTTCCACAGAGTGGAGGTATTTCTGGTCACGTAGGAGAAAATGAAGTCTGTTCTGGTAAAAAAAAGAAAAAAAAAAGCTAGCCCTGGGAGAGGCCGCTCTCTGACTGGCAGTGAGTGAGGGGAAACCTGCCTGCCTCTTGCTTGCTGTTCTTTCTGCCCCTCCTCTGCCGCCCGCCCCTGTGGAGTAACTTTACCTCCTGCAGACTCCGATGGCTGTCAACCAAGAGGAGTAGGGGAGAGTTTGTCTCAGTGTAAGGGAGAAATTACCTCAGGGTCATGAGTGTCAGAACCAGTTGCCATCTCCGCATCTCCTTTCCTTCAGAGCAACACAGAACTCTCTCAAGCTTCCTGCATTCCCAAGGTCGCAGCCATCGATTTAGTGTGGATAAAAGCAATGCTGGCTCACCACCCGCACCCCCACCCCTTGTCCCCGGAAGGAGCAGCACTGGCAGTTAGGCCAGGTCAGGCCTCCACTGAGATTCAGAGAGGCTGCCTGGAGGGCTGGGATGCCTGCCTCTGCAGAATATTAGATTATATTATAAATAGAATTATAGAGACGGGAAGCTGACTGGTCCTTGGTGTGATACACTTTAGCCAAGAAATATTGAGCCTGTTCTGTCATCTTAGAAAATGTTGTCATATTTTCATTCAACTTTATTCCTTCTCACCAAAAGACCACCCCATTCTCAGGTTCTAGAGCCACACTCTGATTCCTCTCCCTGAAGCAAACATTCAGAGGGTTTGGGCATTTTCCATGGTTTATAAAACACACAGTGCTTTGGCATTTTACTTTCCTCTAAGGCCTGAAGGCACCTGGTAGGTCTGGGCCTCAGGTCTTCAGTATCTCAAGCCCTCACACTGTTTTGACTCAAGCTATACTAAGTAGAAAAACGAATTCAATCTGTTGAAATGATTATGAAATATTTAATATGTGGAAGAGTACACATAATATAACCAACACCTCTAAGCTCACTAATTTAACATCAGAAATAAAGTATGACCCATACAGTCATGAGCCACCCTCCCCTGGGTAACAACTCCCCTAACTTGCTATCACTCCCATGTTTTATTACTTTACTATGGCTTTGTTTTACATATTCTGAATCTTCATCTAAATTATATACATATGTAATATGTATGTATATATATACACACGACTTATATAAACATATATCTCAAGTTTCTCTCCAGTTTGCTTTTTCTGTTCTTCTCTCAGTTGTGAAATTCATCTAAGCACACATCTGTTTGCACGACATCATGCATATGGTGTCATCCTAGGCCCCTCATAATTTACCTCCATTACTAACTGCTGCCAAGTTGTTCTAAAAAGTGGCTATGTCAACCTTAACACCACTATCAATATTTAAAAAAAATGGTCCTGCTGCTTCGTGTTTGACAAAGCTTGAGGTCATCATTAGCAGCGATTTTTGCAGTTGGTGAAAGAGCATGTGTGGCTGCCTGTTTTCGACTTCTTTGACTAAGCTGTCTCTACATTTGGATGGTTTTCTTCACTGGGAGGTTGTTTTGTTTTTCTCACTATCTTGTAAGAGTTCTTTATGTACTCTGAGTGCTGATCCTTCCTCTGTCTTGTACAAATGTTTTCCGTCTCTCTGGTTTGTCTTTGTACTTCACCTTCAGCACACAGTTGCTTTAAATTTAATGTGCTTAAATTTCATCAAATTTAAGTTTAATGTGCTTAAGTTTCATCAATCTTTTACGTTTGGTTTGTCTGGATCTTATCTAAGAACTCCTTCCCTACCTTGACATCATAAAAACATTGGCTATTATTTTCACCTAAAAGTTTTGAACTTGGCACTTATACATTGAGTTCTTTAACCTGGGGTTAAATCTTGTATTTGGTGTGGGACAGGGGTGCGTCTTCTTCCATTTGGAAAGCCAGTGGTTCCAGTGCCCCTTACTGACCAGGTCAGCTCCTCCTCTTGGTTACTTTATCTGTCACGGACTGGGCATTGCCACATCCCATTAGGCTGCTAATCCCTTCCTTGGATGAGAACATGCTGTCTTGATTCCTGTAGTTTTATAAAATATGTCTACCTTATTCTTCTTAAAATCATCTTGGCCATCTGCAGCACAGTTTTAATTTTCAGCCTTTCCTTGAGTTTGCGCTGACCCAGTATAAGCAGTCCAATAGCAAGACAATAAATCAAATAGCAGGAGGTGAAGCTGAATCTTTTAAATCCTAAAAAAACTCATCCTAAGAAATCTCTGTGTAGTAATGACATAGAACAGTGTTGTTTTCTATAGTGAAAGCCCATATAAGATAAAGTGTTTACAAAAATGCAAAAATGCAAAACTACCTTAAAGAAACGTGCCCGGGTTGTTAAAAGGGTCATTTAAAAATGGAAACTAGAGTTCATCCTCTGATGGGTACTGCTTTTATTTTTAAAAATGACTAATTTTTAAGCCTTTTGTTTTGCATCGAGATAGGCCCAGAAAGTTCTATAAAACAGCGCTAGAAGTGCACATTTGTCTCCTGGATACCTTGGAGCGCCCAAATTGACTGTCCCTGGGAGGACCCCAGCGTGCAGATTCCTCACTGCAGGGGTCTCTGACGTAGCCCTTCTCTGGTTCTTGCTCTTCCTGAGCTCAGTGACGTTTGTAACCCACATTTCCCACTTGGTGCTCTGCAGTGTCTTCAGATTCAAACCCTCCTCTACGGACCGCAGGACAAGAGGACGGTGGCCACCCAGCAGGCCGTGAACACGCTGTCCAAGTGAGTTGGGGAGGCTCTCCCTCCACCACTTCCCCGGATGTCTCACTCCTTGGCCATTCAGGCTCAGGGGGAGCTGAACTCTCCATGGAAAGTTTTATTAACTGACTTCCCTCAATGCATAAACTATGCAGGAACAATTCTTTGAAAATCCACTTGTAATTATCTTCCTTGCCTGAATATTAAGGAGAAATTAGCTCTTGAATGTCAGCAACCTGGGTTGGAATCAGTCTTCCCACGCACTGGTCCCTGCAGGCCCTCACTGTTGCAGAGACTTCCCTTTGCTCTTGGGGTGCCACGGCAGGAGGAGCCACAGGCCCTCTGACTTCTCCTTGAACTCAGACACTGAGCCGAGGCCGCCTGCTCATTCGGCCGCCTGCAGGTGGGCCGAATGCGTGTTCATGGAAACGCTGCAGACTTGGCCCAGGCCTTTCAGCACAGGGACTAAAAGCCAGCCAGGCTCCAGCCGACCTTTCTGCTGGTGTCTTGTTCCCTGAGGCAGCTAAGGGTGGATGTCTCAACTCTGGGAGAATGGTCCCAGGAGGGAGAAAGCAGGAGAGAACAACCTTGTGTTTTATGTTCGTTCACCACAATTCTCCTTTCATCTACGTTCCCTCCTGAGGCTCCTACGTGAAATGTCCTCAGCAGCTGCTAGGCTGGTCCACACCGGTGCGTGGGCCCGTGTGGGCCTGAGGGGCCCCTCCTCACCTGCCCTCTGCTTGTTTGCAGAGTCCCCGAAGTGGCCGTGAAGTTGAGGCAGACCCCGAAAGTCAAGCCAGCCTTCTGTGCCAGCGTGGCCCACCACACAGCGCTGGGGAAGGCCAGGCCCAGCGTGGCCGACTGAGGCCGGCCCCACAGCACACACTGGGAGCTGCCATCTAGGGAGCTGTGTCTACCGCTCTCCAGAGAGAAGGTGGCGGTGCCCCTGCCCAGTGCTGGCGACCTGCCCCACAACCCGCCCCCCCAGGCACACTGTGCCAGTGGATGCCTGCAGGGTGTTCTGGTGCTCTATAAAGCTCTTCCCTCTACCACCTGAGTGGTTCTTCTCACCAGCAGGCCGTTTACCCGCCAGCATTATTTGTCTTCCAACGCCCAAACGCCCCATGCAGGAAAGTAGACTCAGCGTCTGACTGTGTGGGCAGGCAGGCAGCCCTCCAAGGGCCTGTGCTCAGATTGGGAGCAATGCAGGTGCGGGGTAGGGAGCCCTTTGTTACAGAAAGGTAACAAAAGATTGAGAATAAAGTGCTAACAAAAGGAAATGCAGAAGTCCTGGGCTCAGTGTGTGTTTTGAAAACGAAGCGTGCCTCAGCCTCACGTCCTGGGAGCCTGGGGAGCCTTCTCTCCGCCCCGTGCCCAGGTGAGCCGCCACCACGCACCGGGCACTCGCCAAGAGCCTGGAGACACAATGAGACGCCCAGTCCTCCTCCCCGCCTCGCCCGCCCCACGCTCCTGCTCCCAGACTGCAGCGCCCAGTCCAGGCCCAGGTGTAAGTGGGCCTGATGCAGCCTGGAGGTCAGGGAGGCAGGTGTGAGGAGCCGAGTGGGGAGCAGAGGGGAGGCCGGAGGAGGCTTCGCCCCGCGAGGGACCCCGACTCCCGCTGCTGCTCCTGTGGCCGCCACTCTCGACCAAGGAACGTGCAGCCTCTCCAGCGCTGCGTTTTGAGCTGGCGCTGGCCCCAGGGTTCTGCGCGGGGCAAGTGGGGGTGGGAGTGGGGTGAGCACTCGTGTGACTGTGGTTCCAGAGGGAGTAAGCAAGCAGGAAGTTGTGAGCACCTTTGTCTGTGCTGTCAGCCATGAGATGGGGGGGAGGCGCGGGGGGCTCCCTCTCTCCTCCCTCTCAGCTGCACACTGGCCCCGGAGCTGGCACGGGCAGCTCCTTCCCCGCCCAGCCTGGCAGGACCCACACCACTCTGGCTTCATTCATGCAAATGGCCACCCTAAAAGGGGCAAATAAACCATCACAATGGGAGGAGAGCCGGTCCCTTGTCCTCCAAGTGTGACAGCTGCCCGCACAGACCACCCCCCACCCCAGCCTGTGGGGTGAAAGCCATGTGCAGAGGCTGCCACTTCCGCACATGGACGATGGGACCACACTGGAGTCGGCCAAGGATGAAGGTGTGTACCCCTCATGACTTCCGTGGAAGCCCCAGGCCCCAGGGTGAGTCCCCGGAGGTGGGGCCAAGGAGGCGATTAGGCCCCGGGGCGGAGCCCCGTGCCCAATGGGAGCCGTGCCCTTGTTAGAAGAGACAGAAGAGCACCTTTCCACCGCGGGAGGACGCAGCAGGTGGCAGCCCCTCTGCACGTGGGGAGAAGGGCGCTCACCGGGCGCCACCGGACAGCACCTTCATCTTGGACCTTCGCCTCCAGAACTGTGACAAGCCAGGGCCCCCTGTTCAACCCCAGTCAGCAGTTTTCCACCATAGCAACATGAGAGCCCAAGCCAGATATGGGGAGGAAAAAGTGTTTTCTGACCTGTGACGACATCCTTTCTTCGTCTGGATTTCTTGGAGGGTATTAGTTAGGAAGCACAGAAGCACTTTAAAAGATTTGGTCCCTACCCTGGGAGAGAATCACTTTAGCATGTTCCACCAATGTCTCCCACCTGATGCGGGTGTTGACCGCGACCTGAGAGAAGGCTCGAACCTTGGGTGCGTGTGTGTCTGTGTGTGTGTGTGTGTGTGAGAAAGGTTACACACCAGTTAGAGATCTAGCCCCTCCTTTATCCCAAACCACATTTACAAGCTCTTAAGAAATGGCCATTGAAATAACCTTCCTGGGCCCTCCCTGGAGGTGCAACAGGCTAAAGCACAGCACTGTGAAGCCAGCTGCAGTCACGGGAGTTCTATCCCTGACTAGGAAGCTGACCCACAGCAGAACCCTCCTGTCTCGCCCATTGCTCCCCACAGCAACATATTTTAGTCAATCCTCCCATTCCCCTCTGTCTCTGGTGAATCCTCTCATCCCCCCAAAGAACTCTGGCCTGTACCCTAGATCATACCCCCAGTTCTATATACATCAATCCTAAAATATATATATATATATCCTTCCAATCTGCACACAAGTGACCCACCATCCTGGGGCGGCCAGGCCTCTGTCCTGGCCCTGAATGCCCTCAGTCCCAGGCGAGATGGGACAACAGGATGGCGGCGCCCGCCCTCCCAGGGCACCAACCTCTCAGGCCGGGAGACAGCGCTTCCTTCACTAGCTGCCCGGTCTGGATGTGAACACGTGTGCCAGCTTAGCTGCTGTGCGTTGGGCTTCCCAGTTTTGGGCTAACGCTGTCAAGGTCTGACTCAGGTGAGGGATTAAGAACTGGAACTTCACATCTGTGCCTCCATAAAAAGCACACATTTAAACACAGATGTGCTTTCACAATTTAAACAGAAACGGGGAAAAAAAAAAACCTGGCAGACGCTTCTTCTCTTAGAAACAAGCAATTTCTTTGTCTTGTGTTTTTATTTTTCCTCACTCTTGTGGCATTTCTCTTTGTGGGGGGAACAGCAGGTTTTCAGATCTGCTTTTTCAGACACTCTCAATCTAAATACACATTTTAAACAAACAATATCAAAACCGCCAGTGGAGGGTGAAAAACATTCCATTTCCACTGTATTGTCTGAACAATAAACAGGAAAAGACCGGTGTTCCTTAGCCTGTCCGGTGCTAGTTGATTTCTGTCGTCTCACCAGTGACTAGTTTTAGGGGACATGAAGGTGTGGGTGACCTGTCAGAGCATCCAGGGCACGCAGTAACCAACCAGAGTCTTTGATTCCATGATGTAAATACTCAGGACACTTCTTGAACAGGTGATGTATGTTCCAATGCAGAGATTATTCAGATCAAGGTACTTACTACCAAAATAGAAGTGGGTGTCCAGGATTTAACCTGCTTATGCAGACACTCATTGACAAGGTCACAAGCAAGGGCAGTGACATCAAACTAAGCTCACATAGTGACATCACATAAGCCCACTTAGGCTCACAGAACACTCGGGCCTCCCCACCCCCATCATCAGTCTGTCTCGCCATCCACACCGTGGGCTGTCATCTCGCCACATCCTCACCAGTGCATCCCTTACACAAATTCCATCACCAACAATACATCGTCAGTTCATCCTTGGCCATATTGGAAACAAGTCTTTGTTTGCCAGGCCGCCACCTCCCTGCCAGTTTGTGATAATCACTTGTTCATCTGGTAGATAACAAAGGTTTAAACTTGCAATTCAAATCAACGCTTACATCCTGGTTCACAGTGTTTTTCAAGCAGATCATCCTGAAAGCTGTGCTGAGTCTTCTCCGCCCGGCACAGGGAATGTGCTCTCCCTGAAGTTCTGCGGCAGCCGCTTCTGGAAGCCGCCAAGACGTGTGCTTCTTGGGGGCCAGAGGGCCACCGTGTGGAACCCAGGGGGACGACCCTCCCCTGCCACATTCGCCCTCATCACCATCACCTGCCCCAGGATGACCTCGCCCTGGGCCATCCCATCCCCCTCAGTGAACTAAGGCAGTTCTGTGAGTTTCAGAAGTGATCTAGACACCATTATGTGAGACAGTAATTTGGCTTAAAATAATACTGAGCTACAAGCCACTACTTTTATGTGACTCTATACCTTTAAAGACAGACGCGTGGAAAACAAAGCCCTGGGGTAAAATAAAATGCACCTAGCAGAGCTCACTCATTGTGCTGACTTAAAGTCGGGGTGTACAATACAGACCTCCCCCCCCACCCCAGTGTCCCGCAGGAGACCCTGGACCCCTCTCAGCAGGACAGGGCCCTAGTTCCTACTCAGGTAGCTTATTCTGTGTAACATGTCCCGTGTGCCTCTGAACCAAACATGGTGATTTCCGTTGAAAGTGCAAAAACTTCCTCGAGGTTGGTTGACGCTCTTCCTCTCCCTGGAGGTCAGAAAAAGCCCACTCGCTGGGCTGGCGCTGGGTGAAGAAGGGTGTCCGGGGAGGCACAGCCCCATTCTGCCCAATGAGGAGAATGAGCTGCAGCACTCCTCTGCTGTCTTGGGGCCCCCCTCAGAGAAGTTAAACATCCGGTGCTAGGGCGGAGGTGCAGAAAAGTCACCGTGTTCTCCGACAGGAGCTGGCTACTCTGGAACCGGGTTGTAACCAGAGAGCATTTACCTGTGTGCTACCGAGTGACCTAGTGCCCCAAAAAGGGTCCTTAAGCGACTCTCAGTCGTGTGCCCTGTAACACGTTCAGGCCGAGTTCTGAGGACGTGTGCACACGGGCAGGTGCGCTGAGCTGAGCTGTCGCTAACGGGACCTTCCTCTCCATTAGCAACGCTGCATTTAAAAAGCCCTGTGCGCAGAAAGCAATTCATTCAAGTTTTAAAATGAATTTAACTCTATGACCAGTGAGTTCTTCCTAAATATGAACTCAGCAGATTTCTTTTACACATAAGCAGTCTGCTTATTCCCTACAACTTCTTTTCAAAAAGACTGGAGAGAGGAAAACGTGTCCATTTTCCCCTTAAAATAATTAGCTGACTATTTCTGTTAGTCCATGCAGTAAAATTTCTGTTAAATATACTAGTTTAACCTGGTTACCTTTAAGGCCTCTTACCTATGGGTTGTTAACTAGAATCTCAAACGGATGGCAGGGATTCCTGTAACAGGTGTAGCAAGTCACCTCTCGAAGTGGAGAGAAAACGCCAGGAAAAAAAGGAACTTTTAAAATTAAAGAGATAAAAAGCATTTCTGTAAAAGTCCTAACTCATAAAAATAAAATCCCAACACTACTTCAGGTATGAATTAACCTGAAAACGCCACAGACTATGAAGTAAATTGACACTCCTGGACCACTCTTTGAGAAAATAAAAGAGCCAGCGCCCCACCCCCAACCCCCTTTAAAATAAGGCCTCTGTGTATGGGCTTGTCACCACAGAAGATGCCATTTAAAGCAAAATATCTCTCAGAACCAGTGTCCCTCGTTCTCATTCTCCTCCTCCTGACTGTCCAGATAGAGGAGTGCCACTTTCTTTTCATCCGAGATCACCGACCTTGTATCTACCATTCTCTGCAGCTGAACCGTCTTACTAAACTCCTTGCCTTCTTCCCGGGGGACCTGGTGTCTGTCCCCGGCGGTGGCCTGAGAGCCCCCGCTGGCGGCCCAGTCCCCACTGTCAGTGTCTCTCCAGGCACCGGGGTCAGACCCAGTACGAGCTTGTGCACCCGCCCCTGCGGAGAAGAGGCCTGTGGTCTCTCGTGTCCAGCGGGAGGACGATGCTACGTTACTCACGTCCATCTGAAAGGTAAACGAAGTTTCTTTGGGCCCCAGAGCAACAGGCTTTAGGGTTCCGCTGCTGTCCCCTGACTCTCCTCCCCCAGGGGAGCCCACACTTGCCTCAGAAATGGGGCCGTGGGAGATGACATACTCAGAGGTTTGGGTCTCCACAGGACCTAGGCGAATGTGCCTGAAGGACCTGCCCGAGCCCTGAGTCACCTCTGGCCCTGACTCACCGCCCACACCAGCCTGCTGGTCCAGTGAGGTGTCCGTCTGCCAGATGGCGTGATGCGTCTGAGGCCTCAGGGCCGTGCCCTGCCCTGCCCACCCTTCTGTGGATTCAGAATCTCCTGTGACGCCCAGTTTCACTGAGTCTGAAAGGGGGACTATGAACTGGATCTGCTCCGCCCTAGGGCCTAACTGAAGGTGCTTTACAGAAGTCTGGGTTCCCACCAACTCTTCTCTTTGGAAAAAATCTCCAGCCTCCCCTGCACTGGAAACAGAGCCCTGAAAAAGCACGTCCCTCTTGACGTGGAACTGTTTGGCGTCAAGTGCATGGTATCCCCCCAGTCCAGCACTATCTGCGGAAAGCTTGGCGGGACCGGACTCCTGTGTGGCCCCCGCCAGCTCACGGGCAGGGACAGGCCCTCGGAAGATGACTTCTTTGGCTACTTGACTCTGCTGGGGGCCCACAGTGAAGTGCCCCACAGACCAGCTGGCGCCCGCCGAGCTTGCTGCCCGACCTAGGCTGCCCTCCCCACTTACCTGCACCCTCTCTGCTCTGGGTCCTTCCAGTGAGACTTGCTCAGTCCTCCAAGTTCCAGTGGGATCTACTTTAATGCGCCTGACAGCCTGGCTCACGTCCTCTAGCACGTGTGACCGGACAGAGCCCCGGGGGCCGGTGACCTCCGCCGTGGCCAACACGGGGCCCTGAGAAGTGACTCGCTCTGAGCTGTGCAAGGCCCAGCCGGCCTCCCTCTCCTCGTGGGTGGGGGTGTACAGTTCCTGGGTGGCCCAGCGCTTGAAGAGAATGCCGGCGGCTGGGGCCTCTTCCTCAGTGTTCCCCTCGGGGCTCCCCGGCGCCGTGCTGTGCCGCTTGGCCAAGCTGCCTCGAACCACTGACTCTACCGCCTTCTCAATCTCCCCAGCTTCGTCTTTGCTCAGATCCTCCAGGTCTAGCTGATCGGCATCCACCGTCTTGGAGAGGTTGACTTCAGCCACCAAGGTCAGGGACCCACCGCCGGGGGGCTGGACTTTCTTTACATCCACAGAAACGCTTCCTGGCCCCCCGGGCCGCTCTCCAGTGAGGGCAGACAGCTCTGTCTTCACGCGCTCCGGAAGGCTTTCTTCCAGCTGCCCGAGGATCTCCACCACCTGGGGTCCGGGCTCCACACGGCCTTCCTTCCTGGACGCCGGGAACCCATGCGCTATTTTGATTTCCTTCTCGATGACGATGGGCTCTGCACGAAAAGCACCACTTCTAGCTTGTTCCTTCCAGTGTGTGGACCCCACGCCCACCGCTAGAGGAGGTTCTCCGACGTCCAGTGGCTTCACGACCGTCTCTCCCCATGCTTCACCCCTCTGCATCCTCCTACGAGTGCCCGGCATGATTTCATCTTGCCAAGAGTACCGGATGGTGGACTCTTCCTCCACGTGGACCTGCCCGTACACTGGGCTCTCGTCCTGGTCCTGCCCCCCGGCATACTCGTCCGGAGTTGAGACGAAATAACTCTGCTCTCCCTCCAAGCCACCTGCTTCTGTCACTTCCTCCACGTGAGCGACATTCTCTTGGGGCCGCCCGGTCTTCTGATGTTGACTGCCTGAGAAGGCGACGTATGTTTTCCCGCGACCTTCCTCCTCTTCGACCAGCCGTCGAGAGCCTGGAGATGTGTCCTCCGCCTCCTCCACTTTAAACGGGACGGAAACCTCCGGCGCTTTCTCACCACCGCCGTAGCTCACCGGCTCCTCGATGATCTCTACGTTGACCACCTTGGCGCGCCCCTCTCGCCCTTTCAGGCCGAGGTTGATGATGTCTCCTATCACCCGCTCGGCTGACTTCCCCTTCAGCTCCACCTCCTTAACCTCCTTGCTTAAAAGGTTGTCCAGGCCGGCTTCGTCAGAAGCATCGACCTCTTCGATCAGTTTCGACTCCACCACTATCTCAGTCCGTGTCTTCCCGTCACCAGGAATCTCCTTCCTGTCCACGTAGGTGACTTTTGTGTCCGGGAAAGCATCAGCCGCGGCTTCTGTGCCCGGAGACTGGGTGAAGTGCTTCAGGACGCTGGACACGATGTTTTCTGCTATGGTTTCCTTCCCAGGGTCACCCGTCAGCGAGCCAGTGGTGTCGCCAGGGTGTGGCCTGAACCCGGTCTCCCTCATGCCCCCCACTCCACTCGGCCCCAGGCCAGCAGCCATCCGCGGGGACGTCGGGGAGGCTTTCGGGGGTGCCCCTGGCGTGCTATCCTGGACAACTTCTACACTGATCGGTATCTCTCTTTCTCTCACACTTTTCTCCCTCAAAAGAGCCTTCTCTTTCTCCCGCTCCTTCATCTGCCGGCTCTCTCTCTCTCTGGCCTCTTTGTCAAGCTTCGTCAGTTCTTCCCACCGTAAGTTCCTCTCCTCTGACGCCTTCTCTTTAGAATCAAACATTTTCTCCCGCTTGGGCTGGACAGAGCCTGCTCTGCTGCTCTCGTTCCCCCTCGTGGTTTTAACTTCTGTTTTCTTCTCCAAAATGAGGGTGGTCTCATTCGACCTGCTGCTGTCAGAAGCACCTGCGGCCACACTGTCCCAGCGTGCTCGGCGTGACTCTGGGGAGACAGTGGACTCCGGGGCTGACCTCGTGGGGGCATCCTTCGTGCCGTTAGCTTTTGGTGGACCAGGGAATGTTTTCGCTTGCGCTTCCGTGTGTCTCACATGACTGGAGTCTGCAGGGAAAGTCCGGAGGCTGGTCTCATACCCGTTCTCCCACCTGGTATTAGCAAAAGAAGAATAGTGGGAGCGCAGGAGGCCTCCCCTGGCAGGGCCCCCAACAGCAGTGCGCGGCCAGGCATGGGGAGACGGCCCGGGGCGCAGGGCCAGGCCGTGACCAGAGCCCCACGAAGGGGCTTTCTGCTTCAGAAGCAGATTTCTTTCATTCTCCCGCTGTAACGCCGAGGTGGTGTAGCGGTAGGACGTGTCTCTGAAATCTGAAGAAACCAAAGAAACAGTTCATCAAACTGATAGTCATCGTCACCTCCTCAAAGCCTCTCCATTGGGTCAGATCTCATCATGACAAATGCAATCAGACACCACTTACTGCACACAAGGCTTTTCCCTAACCTGGGAGTGTCGTTCTGTTTTTGTTTTTGTTTTTTTGAGGCAGGGTTAGTTTTAAAAATCCTGTAACAATAAAACATGAGTACTATAGGGCCCTCCCTGGTGGCGCAGCGGGTTAAAGCACAGCACCGAGAAGCTAAAGCCGCTTCCGCATGAGTTCAACCCCCACCTGCCCCGGAGGTGACCACATGGCGCGGGCAGACCTCTCCTGACCCGCCCGCTGCTCCCCTCAGCAGTGTACTTCGTCAGCCAGCCTGTTCTGCTCCCTGCTCTGTCTCTGGTGAATCCTCTCAGCACCCCTGCACCTCTGGCCTGTACCCCAGTTCTGTATGCACAAATAAATAAATCTTTAAAAAACCCCAAAACATCAGCACTATAAATGCTTCTGTGCAACACTTTCCTCCAGTTACTGGTCTTAAAATATTCATCCTTCCTAACAAAAATGCAAAATGTGTGATTGTAAAGCACCGCGTGTGTGCCAGGGAGGTTAGGGGTGCTAGTTTTTAAGGCTGAAGTTTCACAATATTATGATATTTTGGAATTGTTCATTGCTACTTTGTTGTGAGATAAGTTTATTTTACTTATTTCAGCAGAGGAGAGCTTCATAATTACAAAATATATAATTAGTAAACACCAAATGCTATTACCCCCTCTACCAATTAATGTGTTTATTTTCACTGATCTCCACATTGGACCACGTTTTGAAGAATCAATTTGTTTTTGTAAGCTCCCTGGCTTCTTTATTTTTGTGCTTCAAACCTTCTCATTTGAAAAGGCGCCAGCGCAGGAAGCCAACCAGTCACCGCCACTATGATCAGCTCTGATGCCATGATTGTGGTCGTGGGCTCCCTGCTTCGCGCCAGAGCAGCTGCAGAGAGCTGCCCCTGGGCACCTGAACCTCCCTTAGGAACAGCAGGGGTTGGGGGTTCCGGGAGCCCCACTCCCTGCTCTCCAGCTGACCTAGACGAGGCAGAGCCTTCTCTCCTGGAAGAAGCCAGGCCAGGGCATTTTCCACAAATCCTCCCCTCTTCAGGTCCACATATTGGCACTAAACTGAGAGTCCCAGAAGGGGACCCCAGGAAACAGTACAGGGACCACTGTTTTTGTTTTTTGTTTGTTTGTTTGTTTGTTTTTAAAGATTTATTTATTTGTGCATACAGAACTGGGGTACAGGCCAGAGGCTCAGGGGCTGGCGAGAGGCTTCGCCAGAGACAGAGTGGGGAGCAGAACAGGCAGATCGACAAAGTACACTGCTAAGGGGAGCAGCGGGCGGGTCAGGAGAGGTCTGCCGCGCCATGTGGTCACCTCCGGGGCAGGCAGGAATCGAACTCATGCGGAAGTGGCTTTAGCTTCTCAGTGCTGTGCTTTAACCCGCTGCGCCACCAGGGAGGGCCCAGGGACCACTGTTTTTAAGGAAGCTCAAGGATCATTACGGAAGCTCATAGACAGGCACGAGGCCTATCTCTGAGGTCAAGCGGCTGATGCTGTCTTATGCAAATCCCAAAGCAATAGTTATGATGAGCACTACAAATCCCCACCAGGAAGACAAAGCACTTTTACTCAATGGCCAGCTAATGGGCACCTATATTGTACAGACACAGAAATATCTGGAAGCACAATGTCTAGGAAGACAGTCACAACCAGCACACACTGTCTTTTAGCACAATAGGTTATTACTAAAATAAATTTAGTCCACAAATAGGTCTCTATACCCTTTAATATGCTTGAAAAGTCAATGAGTGAAAGCAGCAGCCTCTTCCTCAGCCCTCCTCCGCTCCCTAGTTGAAATGAGTAAGGACTAGCCTGTGAGCCTGGACTCAAGTCTCTTGCCCTCGCAGACGGGCCTTTTCTTGCCTGTCTCCTTCTGTCTGTTATACAGTAGATGTCCAGACTTAGAGACCCACGTGCTTAAAATTCTGTGACTAAATAAACCCTGAAATGTAGTAAATGAATAATGCTTCCTTTATCAATGTCTCCTGCTAACTGGTATCACGCAGACCGGCTCACGGTCATTTCCATGGTCATCTTTGCCTTTTCCAGTCTGACTGAGATCAAATCCCTTCCTGTCACAAAATTTGAACCAAAAATCACTGCTCTGAGCCCAGTGACCTGGCAAGTCTGTGAAGTGTCTAGTCAGAAGAACACTGATTTTGAAAAATATAGATGGAAAATATTTTTTTAAACCTACGTTCAGTCCAAATTGGCTGCTCATCACATATGCTCCCGATACAGGTACTGAGTCCCTTACTCCCAACTTGCCATGACTGAAGCCAGGCCGAGTCGGGCGACACAGAGCACACTGGTGACATGGAGCACATGGACATAATTCACGCTGCCCTTGTTCAGTCAGAAAGCTCTGTAAGGCTCTAAAGGATTTGAAAGTTTTTTAAGTCACCGCACAAGTTCTCAGGCCTTTCCTAATGGACATCAACTCATATCAGCTCACAGTTACAGGAAGAGTGGGCTTTTCTTGCAACCTTTGGCTTTCTGGCCAAGCCAGACCCAGGGCACCTCACACACACACACCTGAGCTGTCATGGCAACCTTGGGCAGCAGAAAGGGTATGATGGCTCCTGCCTTTGCCCAGGGGAGCGGGGAGGCAGCAAGTTCTGGGGGGCCGGTTTGCGTACAAACTCCCTCCCAATGCTTGACAAGGCCCCTAGTCTTTGGTCTGTGAGGGGGTTTCCCACCAGAGGGTCTGACAGAAGTGCATGGCCGCCTTCTTCTCACACTTCCAGGCTCAGCCCCTCCCCCTCACACTTCGCTAGGAAGTGCCCCCAAATGACAGCTAGAAGAACACACAAGTCTTCAAGGCATCTATTCCATGTCACCTACATTAATATTGAACCACGCGCCATGAGATCAAATCTAGTTGATGTTTACTAGAGGGGGAGAGAGTTCTCTGAAACATGCTAACGAGCCGCTCTTCTTCTAGGTAAACGACATTTTATCGTTTTTCCATATGGTGAGCTCATTCAGATAGACAACATCTTGATGTCAAATAATTCACTTTTATTATATTTACCTTGTGGTATCTTTTCAAGGTGCTCAGACAAGATCAATATCTCTGGGTTACTTTCACCTTCCAGTAAGGCTCTGTAAAAACCATTTAAAAAAGAAAACTCATTAGGAAACAGAGTGCGAGGAGCCTCTACAAGACTCAGAGACTAGTATGTGGTCAACAACCTCCCTGGCGTGCTGCCATGTTTAGGACGCATACCTGAAGAGGCAAGCCCACCTGGGCAGACCTGGCTGGAGAGAGACCTCGGTGAGGAGGGTAATTGTTCCGGGACCTCTCAATCGGCTCCGTCCATGACACGGCCTGCAAGACCACGGACCACCCTCCTGGGCCCACGTCTCTGTCCCTTTCTGTTCCTTGCTCAGAGTTTGGAAGAACTTTCTGGAAGAGGCCTCATTTCATCCAGAGATGCTTCCTGCTAATGCTTTAGTAGAATGATGGAAAACCTTCAACGAGGTTGCTTTGTTGGCCACATCCAGCTCCCAAGCCTAAACTGGAGAGTCTTCATCAAGTTGTTAGTCACTGTCCTACAACCCGGACCCTCGGCCGAGGGAGCGAGCAGATGGGCCAGCTACGGGGCTCAGAGACCCCCACCCCCACCTCCCCCCGGGTGCCCGCTCTGTGGACACAACAGTTGTATGGTTGCTAGGTAGCATGTGAAATCACTAACTCCGGATCCAAGAAATACACTGTGTGTGGCAAAGGGCAACCAGAAGCAGAGCCCACTTGGGAGTGCTGAGGTCACCACGGGAGCTGGGCACCGACGCCGGGCACCCAACCCGAGGAGGGACGCCAGACCCAGCAGGGACGCCACGGCTCAGCACACCGGCACCGTGTCCTATTTCCACTGACGCAGGGCGGTGGTTCCCACAAACGGGAGGACACCGGCACAGCAGAAAGCATGCAAAAGAGGCCTCTTCTGAGGAGCAAAGCAAAGGCGGTGGTGAGAGGGTCTGCGGGAGCTGCATGGGCGTCGGCCCGGAAGACTGGCCGGCGCGCTCCTCTGGACGTGCAGGAAGACAAGGTCAGTGTCGGCCCAGCACTTCCCCACGGGGCGAGAGCCAGGAAACTGGACACTACTCCTTAATCACACACCCTCATGACCAAGCACTTTAGGCTCCAGAAACACAAATAGCTTCCAGCGCTGAGAAAAGTCCAAGGCCTGCATTTAGAAAGGGGAACGCTCAGCATAAAACAGGGCTTGCACCCCAGGATTGTGGCAGCAGAACGGGAGCATCCCTCAGCGTTGTGGGTCAGCACGGGGCCTGGTGAGAGCATCCAGTTCAGGTTCAGATCCACGCTCAGACCTGAGTCCCACCAGCCTTCTCCTGGAGTGCCCAGTCCTCTGCTGAGGACTCTGAGAGAAACCAGAAGCAGGAGGCGGGCTCAGGACAGAGGAGTCCCGTGGGACAAGGCAGGCGTGTTCCCTCATGCCTCAAAGGAGATGGTGTAGGCCACCTCTCTAAGGAAATTCAAATCATTACCAAATCTCCTGTGTCCAGGAGCCTGAGCATGGGCAGCTATCCCCGGGGCCTTGTGGTGGGTGCGGGGACCTCACTGGCTCTGGCTGCAGTGCAGTCCCGCTCCTGAGCCCGCCTGCATGTCACCACATGAAGCCTCCCAGCGACCCCTGTACTGGGCCCGTGATGGCACTCCAGTTCCCCAGGGAGCAGACGGAGCAAAGGCCGAGTGGACCAGCCTAAGGTGCCCAGTTCACCTGCACAGGGGGTGTGTGGGACCAGCTCAGGGTGTGAGGGGAACCAGCCCAGAGCCTGTCCAGGAGCCTGCTGCCTGGGCGCTGACCTGCCCGTCGGCCTCCAGACTCCCCGAAAAGCCAGAGACGGCATCTCTTGCAGATTGTGGCCATCCAAACCCAGCAGACAGGTCCTCCAACCGCACTAAAGAGGGAAGCATAGCATCTTTGGGTGACTTCATCTGAGGTCCCGACAGGCCTCTCCCATAGAAAACAAGCCCCTACTGGGAAAGGACTCAGCCCCCATCCTCGTCCCTCCTTGGTGCCCAGCTCCTAGAGGCTGCGTCCCCTTGTCCACGTGGGTGCCCGGGGAACCCCTAACCCAGCATTCACACGGCCCCCATGACACACCACTTCCTCCCCCACCGGACCGTTCACGAGACGGGCAGCAGAGGCTTAAGCCCAGCCCCGTCGAAGGGCCCGAGAGAGACAGGGCTTCTGACACAGGTACCAAGTACACGCCATGCCCCTGAATCATCGTCAAGAAAACTCTTTTTCAAGGAACTGACTCGTATAACTTTAAGAAATGGGTCAAGTGCTGTCTGGTTATTTTGAGAGGGGTGAAGGAAACCAGCTCCCAGCCTGGTGACTGGGAAATGCCAGCTCCCTGAATCACAGGCTATTAGTGATGGTCTCTTACAGCACCACAGGCCGGCAGCCTTATAAGCAGGAAAAGAAGCAAATGTGTGCAGCAGGGTCGGTCCCTGGCCTCATTAAGGAGTCGAGACAATCCATAGGCAGACGCCAGCTGTAATGTGGCCTCTGGCCACAGTCCAGGCCAAACAGACCACGTCTACGTCTACATCAACCACGCCGCAGGGCTCTCTGCCGGGAGTGGTTCTCCTCAGGGAACTTCAGGGCAGAGCTGCTGCTTCCAGGGCCAGTTGCTGTGCTCTGCACCCATGTCCACGCACACATGGAGGGAGGAAGACGTGGGGAAAGCCCAGATAGTGAGGCAGAACTGTGCACCCCCAGAGAGGGTGAGGGGACAGCCTGGCCCCCCCAGACTCAGGCCAGGGGCAGGGGTGCAGAGCTACAACGGGAGAGAATTCCACTCTGAGGCCAAGGAGCATCGAAGCCCTGGGGGCTATTTCCGGCCTTTCCCTCTGTCCTCAGAATTAAAATCACATCCCCAAAGCCGTGTCTGTTTATAAAGATCAAAGGGGACTGGAGAAAGAGATTAAGGGTCAGGGGACAAGACACCAACCCAAACAGGACCCTGCACTCCCGTCTAGAACACAGCAACAGCACAGAAGAGGGACAGAGTCACACACGGGGTGTCAGGGGCTTATCTTCAGGACACTGACAGACAGAACACGTGGCTTCTGCCTCAAAGAAATGGGTCACACTCGACCACTCTGACACGCTCAACCGCTACGCCTAAGCCCTGAGCCCAGGAGGCAGGGAGGCCCGCAGTGGCTGTAACCCCAAGGCTGGTCTCTGTAGCTGGCCACGGCAGGCCAGCACGCACCTGGTTCCAGGCCCAGGGGATGCAGAGCTGGCTCCCGGCTCGGCTCCTCATGCCCCTCCACGCACACTTGGACTTCAGGAAGAGGCACAGTCAAATCGATCACTCTCATCCCGGAAAGGCCTGATGACTGCAGCACTAGCAGATGGCCAATTCAGCCCTAACTGGGTTAGGGAAAGGCCAGCAGCAGACAGGGGAAGGGGACTCTGTCCCCACCACACTCCGGCAGCTGCCATGGAAAAGAGCTGGAGGCAGTGAACGTCTCCCCAAAGGGCTGGCTCTGGCGTCTGGAAAGGCGCCTGCCTGTGCCTCTCTTTATGTGACAGAAGAGGGGACAGGGAAGGCAAGGGACCCCAGAAACAGGGTACAAAAGTCAGTGTCTCCTAATTCCAAACCAGAGGATGATTCCAGAAAGGAAACTGGAAGAGCCAACTGCCTCCCTGAGAAAAGACTCACCTGCACTCACCAATTGGCACAAAGGTGGGTTTCTGGGCCGGCCCAGTATCTGCTCTGGAACATTGCCTGATTTGGGCCACCAGACACCCCCGTCTCAGTTCATGAGACTCACAGGAAGCCGACCCCACCGGAGCCCCAGAGTGAGTCCCCCCAGCCCAGCGACGGGCACCAGACCCAGAAAGAGGCGGCAGGAGCTCGCGGGCAGGTGGGGGAGGGGCCTGTGTTCCAGCAGGGTCATCCCACCCGAGAGCCGGCAACCTTGTCGGGGCTTTTCCAGTTATCTGAGCACGAGGTTCCCATTTGACTTGAGTCCGTATGAGGAGGGTTTCTGTCACCTCTGGTGGAAAACAGCCAGCCTGATGTGCCGTCCCCAAATACGGGGTGCACCGGGGTGGGGCTGGGGGTTGCCACAGACAAAGCTCAGTTCTGCAGTGATCCTTACCGCCAAAGCCTCCGCCATTTTGCTCAGCATGTAGCTGGAACACCTGACTGACTTAGCTTTGGGGTGATTCACCCCACTGTTCTCCAAGGAGAACACAGGAGATGGGCCTTGGAAGGGGGGCCACCGGCACCTCCCGCCTCTGCACCCTGCCCACTGCAGCTTTCAGAAGGGCACCCAGCAGGGTGGCCACTGGTTTGGCCTCAGGACCAGCCTCTGTGTGGCTGGAGGCTCCACCCAACCTGTGCCACAGCTGCCGTGGCCCTGGGGGCCTCACTCCTCTGCGGCTGCCTGGGGCCAGGCCGGGGACCGGCTCCCTCTTCACTGATGGTTCACCCTGGTGAGGGCCTGGCCGAGCAAGTCCAGCAGAAGGCAAAGACAGCGAGGCTGCTCCGAGGCCGCACTCCGGACCCCCAGCTGCCAGGCCCTCGGACTGTCTCAGCAGAAACCGTGATCAGGAGACAGCACAGACGTCCTCCCAGAAGTGCCCAGCTCAGCTGTCCGGCCCCTGCTCTGCCCCTAACAGTGCAGCAGGCCTTGCTCCCTCTTGCCCAGAGGGTTAGACTCCTGCCACCCACGCCGATGTGTCAGAGGCAGGCGCTGACGGTGCTCTCAGCTGCCAGGGCGGCCTCTCCAAGGCCTATTTCCACCTGGGTGGCTCTGGGCTCACACAGCCTGGGAATGAAGGGGGCCTTGTGCCCACTGCCGCTGGCTGGGGGGAAGGCACAGGCCAGAACAGGCTGGGTCAGCCCCTCAGCAGCCTGGACCCCCCCACCTCCGGCCCCCTCTCCCTCACCTGTAACAGGGGTGAGAGGCACCCCCCAGGGAGAGGGTGAGCTCCTTGTCTGGCAGGTGCGATACTGGCCAGTTACCTTATGGGCTGGGGGAGGCTCAGGCTCTCTAAAGTCCTTCCATTGTGAGGGCCTGAGAGCTGAGGAGACCCACACTTCTGCTAAAGACCACTTACCACCCAGGGGCAGAAAGGGACCTGAGCAGAAGCTGCTCCGAGGGCCCCAGCTCCCTGGGGGGACAGTGGATGACAGCCTCTGGCCTGCCGGCACCAGCCCTTTCGGGCTTGGCGACTTTTCCCTCTGGGTTAGTCATCCTGAGTCCAAGACCACATCTCGATAAACAAAGCCTGTTGTCGGTGCCTCGCTAAGCTGCTGGCAGAGATGTAGTTCTTCAGGCCACGCCCACAGGAGTGGGGTCAGGGGCTGGAAGCAACGTGCAATAGGTAGACACACTTGGCCTTGGGGCTGGAGTCCTGGCCCCCTGCTCTTGCCCTCTAACTTCTCTGAGCCAAGCCTGCTCATCTGTAAACACAGTACCTGATTCCTAGGACCCAGTGACCTTCCAGGGTGCCCAAGACTGGCAAACCCTTGGCAAGGGGGCTCCCTCAGCTTCTCCCATCACCAGGGATGCCAGCTGGGTCAGCTTGGTGAGGCGCTGTCCATCCTCTGCCCTCTGGCCCCAGACTCCTTGTCTGCAGTGCCAGGCAGGGGTGCTCTTGTCACGGGGACTCCCCAGAGGCCCCGGCCACTCACACTGCCCACTCGGCATCCTCACCGGTACGTGGCCACCTCCAGGCTGAGGCCAGTCTTCACCTGCACCAGCTCCTGATAGTCCCGTAGCCGGTCAGCCATGGCCAAGGTGAGGGCCGCCTTCTCATCCTCCAGGCAGGCGATCACTCCCTAAAGAGAACAGAGAGCTCTTAGATCAGATGCCCGGAGGCTTGCTGGGTCGCACTTCGAGAACCGACAGTTCAGGTCACGGAAAGACATGAAAGAGCTTCAGGCTTTGTAAAGACGTGGTCATGGCAAGGGTGAACTAAATACTTTGAGGAAGACCTCATTGCACGTGGGAGATTCTAAGAGGACATGCTCTTCTCCCTGTCCACACTCACTAGAGTAACACCCGTGCCTCTGCACAGACGTCAGGTTGCTCAGGAAAGAAATCAAGCCTGTCAACTAAGGCTGACGGAAATATGGTGAGAACAGACAGCAGGGGTTTACAAAAGTCACCCAATTTTGAGGCCGAACTTACCCCACATTCATGGTTTCCAAAATAGCTCTCTAGCTAAGGTAGTATCAGTTGTTAACTTCTCTGTGTAGGTAGTGGGCTAACAGCACAATCTCTTAGCTGGTAAAACAAGGGAGTACACTGAGAGGTTCCCTGGATGGATGGATGATAGCCCCCCAAAGCCTCGCCTCAGGAGGAGAAAAAGAGCTTCACCAGAGCAGACCACCCCCAGTGTGGACCCTGGAGGTGACAGTTACTAGCTGCAATGCTGTTCCCACCCAGTGACTCTCTGTTAAATCCTATGTTCCCCATTGAGCAAGAGTGTAAGTTCCAATACATGGTCACAGTACCATGTAAATGTATTTTACACATAAATATTAACATAAATATACTGCTCTGTCTACACAGGAAATTTAACCTGAAGAGTAGAGCTGGACACCGTGTAGTGATTTATTCTCTACAGAGCTCAGCTATTCTAAGTTGCTTAGGAAAAAAATCCACAGATGTACTCAACTCTCCAACCACAACGCTAAGCTCTCCCAGCCATGAAAAGTCTCTCTTCTGTGCCCTGAACGGCACAGTCCATCCTGAGGAGGAGAATCAGGATATTTCCACCCACATGGCCAGGGGGTCAGGGTCAGTTCTTCCTCAACTGGCAAAGCGAATGAGCAGACTTCCGGGAGCAGGGGGCAGAGACCTCTCGGCTCCCCAGAGTCCCCAGAGACTGTAGCGGATCCTGCAGGTACACGGAGCTGGACTTGGGCTGTCCTTCACCAGAAGTTTCCAAACCCTGGGCCAGGCCAGAGGGATTACAGCGGGAGACCCCAGCAGGCTAATTCTAACCTGGAGGAAGCTCGTTCACCCGTGGCTTAAAAGCTAGAGAGAGAGGTCACCTTTTTAGTTGCTATTTAGAGCGCCTTTGGGCAGCTCTGATGATGAAAGGTGGGGCTGTACCAGGGAAAGCCACTGCCAGTATCTGAAGAATCCACGTTCTCTTAACCCAACGGGAGCCACTCGGGCCAAGCGAGTCACCCAGTAACACCAAGAGCTCGTAAATGTCCCGGCTACTGGGGACCTTGAATGTTAGAGCTGAGACATGTAGCTGAGCTCATTACTTAATGATATTAAGCTTTAATAAGTAAAAAACTAAATAGTAAAAATGAATAGAAGCATTTAGAAGCATTACTGAATAATAAGCATTCACAGGAAGCTATTTACAGCTCTAGCCCAGACAGCCCCCAGCCCAGACTCCTAATACCAGCTGGGTGCCCAAGAGCATCTCCAGCTGAACTCTGAGCTATGCCAAAGCCACCCCCAACCCTGTCCCCTGCAAAGAGCGCTCCCAGCCACTCAGGCCACAGGCCTGGAGCTAGTCAGTGGATCTCTCCTCCCCCCACATACAAGCCACCCACATACCCCTGGCTTCAGCTTCAGCGTGCACCCCCCTCCCCCCCCTCAGCTCTCTGGACTGCCCAGCCCAAGTCTCCATCACCTCCTGCCTTCACCTTTGCAGGAGTCTCCTGAGGCCTCTCTGCACCTCACACTGGTTTGATCAACTGTAAAATGGGTTAATGGTGGTAGCACCCCATGAGATCATTGTGAGGACAGAGTCAATACGTGTGGGCAGTTTGGGGACATGGGGTGCCTGGCACACCAGGAGCTGAACAGCAACAAAACACACGGCAGGAAGTGGGTATCTCGGTGCCTCTGGGCAAGGTCTGTCCAGAGACCAAGGTCTGCTTCTATGAACGATGAACATATCAGCAGCTTAGGGTGGGCCTGGCCATACTTACTCCTAAAAAAATTTCTAGCATTCTCACACACATTTTTTTTTTTAATACAAGTGCCTAGTATCGAATCTTTTGGAATACAATTGGAATGTGGTTGCTTTAAGCTAACTGGGGCAGGTTCGGGAAATGATTCAGTACCATGAAACCACCACAAATTAAAACTGAAACTAGCCTGAGCCCTTACTGACGACGCAGCTATGTTCACTTTTAGGGGAGATGCTAAGTCCAACAAGACAGGGCAGCCCTGGGCAGGAAGCTGAGAGTGAGGTCCTAGACCCTGGTCAGGTGTGACCCCCTGGTCAGGGGGGGGCAGAGGGAGCGGCTTCTGTCAGAGGGCTGGATAGGATGCCAACTGTACACCTCCAGGCACCACTGCTCCCCTGGAGGAAAAGCTCTACCTTGCATCTCTGCGGGTCCAGGTAGGATTGCTGTGGGATGTGGGGGAGGGTTCTGCGGCCAGAAGAAAACATGGAAACCAGAGCTTCAAGGTCCATGAGGAGTCAGGCAGCATGAGTGCAAGTGAACGCTGAGAGTTCAGCGCACACAAGGCCCCCCCGACAGGGGCTCGCCACAAGGGGATTCCGTGGGCACTAAGCTCAGCAGGCACCCCACTCAGGGGTCAAAAGCTCGGTGAAATCCTACATGAGCACCCATTTTAACTCTCACGCAGCAGCGGGACTAACGCCCAGGGGTGCCAGGCCCAGTGCTGGGAAGGGAAGCAGTCAGCCGAGGGGAGAGTTTGGGAAATCAGCACTGCAGCCAGTCCCTGTCCTGGCTCCACCTGCAACACCCAGGAGAACGCTTTCCAAACCTATAGGGGAAGGCCAGACAACCACGGGCCCCAGTAAGCTCCAAACAGCTCAGCACTGCCCGCTCTGTACAATTCCCCATCTAGACACCAGCTCTCTGCCTCTGAAACCGCAGCGCTGGGGACCTGCGAGCTCGGAAGACCTTCACTGATCACCTGGGAACACGGGAGTCCTCCGTGCCACTGTGCTCTTTTGATTTTTTGTTTTGTTTGTTTGTTTTAATGCAGCAGACTCCCCATCACAAATCTCTAACCTCCAGCTACAAATGGTTCTCTCAGAATATTTCTGAGGTTATTAGAAAATTATAAATACTTCGGGGAGGTTATTATAACTGCCGTCCTGAGAACCATGGGCAGTGTGATTTGGGATGGCTCCAATTCTGGTGGATTCTGGGCAGGATCAGGAGCGGCACTGAGGCTGGGCTGGGTGTGCAGAGAATAAATCAGCAGTGGTGCCACTCTGAGGCTCTGAACTCTGCTCCCCTCAGAGAGTAACTGTTTCTGTGCCTCCGCACTTGTCATAACCCTGCCACGGGGCCCCTTTCACAGCTCCACTACCCAGAGACCTGGGGTCCATCTCTACTGAGAGAACTTAGCCACGAAGCCCTTTTCTGCACCAAAGTTGCTGTCCCTCCCAAGAACAAACAAGGCAGCGGGGAAGTCATTCTGGGAAGACAAAAACTGCTTCTGGGAACCACCTTAAAGTTTTCCCCGGGGAGCCTCCTGTACACAAGGGTTATTATTTTGAACAGCGCCAGGTAAGGACTTGGCATTGCCCAGAAACCCCCTAAGAAGGAATAAGCTGGTTAGTTTTGGAAGTCAGGGTCTTTCTCGTGGACTTTTCTACGATCTATTGTAGGTCGATGGGGCAAAGGAACTAAGGAACCGAGGGTCATTTGTCAGGATGCGGCAAGAGACGCTCAGGTTTAAAGAATGGGCAAGCGAATGGCCTGGGCCATCCACCTGGCCCATTGGGTCGCTGGACCCATATACCGCTCCACTTCCAGGCCTGGCGAGAGGCCAGACCCTGCAGCCCAGCGGCAAGTAGGTGGTTCCCAATGCGTTTGGTCCTGGAAGCATTCAGGCCGGCCCCACCCGTCGGTGCAGCACGCTGTGGGTGAAGGCGCAGCGGGTGGTGAGAGCCCGGGCGTGCCCACCCCTCCGATGCACCGGGCGCCCGGGCTGGCCGTGGGCACCGTCCCCCGAGCACGAGCACGGACCTGCCGCTCCTCAGCCTGCAGGTCGTAGGCCTTGCGCATCCGCTGCAGCTCGTCCTCCAGCAGCGCGCGCAGCTGTTCCAGCTCCTGCGCTTCGCGCCGCAGAGCCTCGGCCTCCTGCGCGCACAGCCTCATCTCCTCCTCCGCCTCGCGCCGGCTCTCTTGGCCGCGCCGCAGCGACTCCTCCAGCTCGCGCACCTCGTCCTCGTACATCTGCACGGCGTCCCGCCGCGACTCGGCGACCAGCAGCGCCAGGCTGTCGCGCACCTCCCGCA